ATGAGGCAGAAGACCATCTTCGAACTAAGAGGGGACCCCTTACCGCCCCTGTTATAACTGCGGGCAGTCCTCTGACGCTGTTGAGAGGTTTTCATGATGAACGAGAGAAGGGCCCAGTAAAATAGGATGAGCGGTGCACACGGGTGGGATGGCTTTATGGAATGACATGAATGCTGGCACGATGCCGAAAATGTAGGTTGCGTAAGTGCTTAACTATGCCCACGCATTCATGTGGCAAAAGATTGCGTAAGTTGTTCAGTGCATTAGGGAGGAGCATTATTCATATAGATAACAGTATTATTAGCCTTATTCCTCTGAGAAAAACCAGGGGAATAGGGATATGGTTGGGTTGATATTTCGGCAACATGCCTTTATCGAAACAATAGCAGAAGTGAAGTCCTGTGATAGTGATTGGTTGTCCTGCACTTCATGCCAGAGCACTGACAGAAAGGAAACAGAAAGGGAACTGACGTGACCGCCCGGGTCTGGTGTGATCCCAGCCAGCGGGCCTTCTCACATGTCACTCCGGTTCAACAACGCGTCAGCTCTGGAAATCATATCCAGTAATGCTGGATTACGAAAACAGTATCTTCCCTCAGACGATCGGAACGGCAAATGTCAGCGACGTTGACTTCGTGCGCGCAAAAGTCATAGACGCCGCTCCTAGATGAACACTGCAAGCGAAGATGAAAAAGGCTTAGGCCGTCCTGAGCTTTTCATGGATCAAAAAATGTGGCTTGAAAAATCATGCTAGTAATCCACTCAACATGTCGTAGACATTGTAAATCGCGCTCCGGAATCAGTTTTGTAACCGTCTTCCACGGGACGTGAAAGCCATTTAGCTGTTAACCGGGCTAGCGGGCCAGGCTGAAACAGGGACGGCCTAGCCAGACAAGTAAAATGTTCCGACAAAAGTGGTTGTTGAGCTGGAAGCGATCCACCGGCTAGTTTGGTCAGGGCCTTTGCAAACATTGCAAACAAACAGAGAACTCGTGCCGAGGACGATAAAATTGTTACACGGCAGGGGTATGCTTACACGCTGCGTTTGCTTCCTAAATCCATGACTGGAACTACAGCTGGTGGATAAAGACGAAAGCATGCGACTTGAATTTTGAGATTTTTAGGTGGAATTTGAAGGAACATGGACAGGAAAACACCTTGCTAGTGCTTTGCTACCGAGGTTAATACAGATGAGCTAGCAATATGCGTCACTTTAGATAAAAGAGAAACGTAAGAAGAAAGTTAAACAAGATACGTAACTTTTCTTGGCCTGACCTTTGCCTTCCTGTTTGACACATGACACACGGGTATTGGAAAGCAGACTGTAAGGCCATGTCGCTGTCTCTGCAGGGTTGGCTGTCATCACTCGGAAACCAAAGTGGGGGCAAAACGCACCAGCTGTCGGTTGGCATTAACTGGCGCATTGCTTAAAGATTGACTCGTTCCTTTCGGTCCTTTTCGCAGTTTTCCGCCGCTAGCCGCAGAGCAGACTGCAGCGCGGCGACAGTCACCAAAATACAGCAGCAGGTGCCCTGCCTCGCTGCTCTCTACGACGTGTTGTTTGTCTGAGTCGGGCAGATTTCTCGAATGTCTTGCCGCTCTGCAATCGCCTTCAACTGATAGCTGCGGCGGGTGAATATCTGCACTGCCGAATGTGAGTGACGGCCGGGCGATTTCGCAACCTCGTTGTTTTTGTGCTTCACCACGACATCGGTTCACCGGCTGGCCTATCGGTAGGCTGTCTTTTGTTCTGCTCGCCCAGGAAAAGCAAATGGATCCTGCATTGTGCGTGAATGTTCTACTATGTGCATTGGATTTCATCTTGTACACACACACACACACACACACACACACACACACACACACATATATATATATATATATATATATATATATATATATATATATATATATATATATATATATATATATATATATATATATTAACTGGCGCATTGCTTAAAGATTGACTCGTTCTCATAAGATTAAAGATTGACTCGCTAACATACTGAATCTATATATATATATATATATATATATATATATATATATATATATATATATATATATATATATATATACACATGAATTTTACACAGATTAAACACAGATTAAAGATTGACTCGTTAACATACTGAATCTATATATATATATATATATGTATATATATTCATCATATATTCATGGAACCTCCAACTACGAACTGAAGTCTTTGTGACGCCATTTGGCCAAAATTTGCAATTGGCAGCTGACGCCATTTCCCCAAACCTGTCATATGCAGTATAGCACATTATGCTCTGACAACATAAGTCCGATTCGGCGCTAGTAAACCAATACTGTCAGTTAACATACTGAATCTGATTCGTCATGACAGAAAATTTTCCCTGCCGTGACCCGGATTCGAACCGGGGTTATCGCGGCCACAACGCGAGGTCCTAACCACTAGACTATCACGGCTGGTGGCAAGGACGCTGCTGGAAAACGTAAAAGCCAAACATGCAGCTTCTCATACACGAGGTGCTCTACGCGATTTAAAATTCATGTTCTTGCCGTTTAGTACACTCAACGCTGCCCATCATGTTTGCATACCTCACGCTCCCAAGCTGCTCGGGCTGCACCGTGACGTCAGTAATGCACTTTTGCGCTTCCATATCACGACGTTTATGATGTGCCGTACTGCCAAGCGCGTTTTCGGAATCTGACTCGGTCGGGAAAGTGGCAATGCTTGTCGTGTTCGACCCGAAAGCATCGCGTTAGGCATCTCGGATCCTTACGGGTGCTTGGTAATGGGCAATGTCGTAAGCGAGAGAGAAAACAGCAGATTTGCTGAGTTAAGTTGGCATCGACCACAACAAATTTGAAAATCAGTGGTCCATACTGGGATGAGCTACGATTCCAGCCACACTATAAGCATTTGGTTAAAGGTACAGCTGATAGCATTTGCTTTCTTCGCGCATCTGCGAAAGATGAGCTGGGGTTGTGTCAAGCTTGGGTGAGCTTATATGGCCACGTGTCCGCCTGCGAGCGTGCTGACGTTTGCAGATGCACTCGGTGATGCTCTGCAGGTGAATAAGGTTTTTGTCGGTTTTGCTGAACATTTCCCGCGGAAATATATTGCAGTGCGATGCGTGTACATGCCTTGTGCTGCAGCTGAGTTTGCAAACCCTATCTATGGGCCAGGAAGTGGAATATACTACCATCGAATCCATTGAACCAATGCGATGACTGAGCCCAGATTCATGAGAGCCAGGAGGGCTTTCGGTCTGGCTATTGCGCATGCCAAGTGCCTATGTTCTACAACTCTCAATGCACAGGATCCAAGAAACTAATGGCCATCTTTGACATCCACTAGACCTCAGGAACTTTGCACATCGCTGACATTATGGTCCAGTGTGGCCATCTCCAGCGCTAGAAGTATGTGCCGCCGCCGCTCAAGTCCACTGGCGCTGGCGTCGGTGGCTGAACAGGCAAGAGAATCATTTGATGAACTGTCGCCGTCCCCTGGATGGTAGCACAGTGGTGTTTGATTTCGGTGCAGGAAAGTGACACCGAATCCGACCAGTCACGTAGGCGGAGCCGATTCCAACAGACTGAGAAACGCAGCGCAACTCTTGGTTTGACTGATTCCGACCCAGGGGGATATGGCTCAATTCCAGAATCGAATGTGGTGTAGCCGATTCCAGCGTCACTAGCTTTCGAGGAACACCGCTTAATGGCTGTCATAGAGGTCTATAAAGGGCATCTATTTTAACAAAAAGTGCACGCATCAGTTATAAACACAATGAATATGTCGCGCTGCTTACGTATCTGCTCTTCGAATCACCGAGGCATCGTTTTACCCAAACGGTTCAGAAGGCACGAATCCACCCTGCATTCAGAATACCAGCTGATTCTATTCCGCTGCAGCTACACCCCGAGCCCGAGTAAAGGTTTGAACGGGTAGGATATAGCCCGCACAATTTTCAGGTTTCAGATATCACACAATTTAAGCACATAAGGCGTCGGACAGACGTCTGACAACGTATTCCACTGCCTACCTGGCTGTCATGCCATGCTTACAGCTGCCCGGCCAAGACGACGTGAAAGACCGAGCATTTCTTTAATGTGTATTACAAACACGGAACACAATAAGTTGTATACAATGCCTCTCGACAACCTATCCCATACGAATGCGTTGCTCTTGGGGGCGTAGTTTTACAATAAAAATCGCGGGCTGAGCAGGGAAAAGTTAAACTTAATTCCGAAGCACACATAATAGGGTTTCTCCCGCATTTGACGCAGTTGGTCTCCAAGTCGCGCGTTGAAGCTACCCCAACCAAACATAAAATCACACCCCCGTGTCGCTCGCTGCACAAAACAGCTCAGAGGCTCACTGCGAGCATTTCACTCAAAGCAACACTTAAGCTCCGTTTGGGTTAAACTCTGGCTTTTGTCACCAACAGCAACACCTTGCACGCAGATGGCGAGAGCGGAGCATACGTATATAGGCTGTGCAACCTACGCACCGCATGTGGAGCCGGAGCTAGCTGTATATTATACTGATTGGAACTAAATTCAATTCAACTACAAGCGTAAGGAACTAAATTGCTGATTTATATGCCCCGAAATAACGCCGACGAGAATGCAGGGTGGGTAGTATGAAGCAACCAGTCCCCACGCATTCCAAAACGTATGCACACACGCTTGAACGTAAAGTACATAGCAAAACACATTGAATTGACGCGCAGGTATATGGTTAGTCATGACTCATCATGCACACGCACACACACACGAGCACCCACCTAGCACGGCAGCACGATTACACCGTTCAGGCAACAACCCGGGAAACCCCCTTCGAAAGAGCCACGCCACACCTCATCCTCGATACACTGGCTGCGGGTACGGGAACCTGTTAACTGCACACACCCCGACTACACCCGCTCGATTACCAGCGCCCTCTCCAAACTCGGAGTCCACCCCCCCCCCCCCCTTCCAAAAACATCCACATGCACGTACGCCGCAAACCACGGCCGGCCTGCACCGCCGGGCTCCACCAATGTCTCGCCTCGTCCCATGCGCCACACACGCGCTCTGGGCGGGGGGACGCCTCACTCCGCGGGTACGAGCGGCGCGTCCAGCACCAGCAGCAGCTCCTTCCGCTCGTGCACCTTCATGTGCGTCTTGAGCTGCTGCGACTGCCGGAACGGGCGCTGGCACACGTGGCACACGAACGGCTTCTCGCCCGTGTGGATCAGAAAGTGTCGGTTGAGCGTGTCGCTCGTGGCGAAGCGTTTATCGCAGCCGCTGCACGCGTAGGGTCGCTCGCCGGTGTGGAAGCGCGTGTGCCGTAACAGGTAGTCCTTGAAGCGGAAACCCTTGCCGCAGTGGTCGCAGAGGAACGGCTTCTCCTCCGAGTGGGTCAGCACGTGCTTGGCCAGTGCCACGTCGTCGATGAAGGCCATGGCGCAGGTGGGACACTTGGCCGGCCGCTCGTCGCTGTGTAGCAGCCGATGCCGCCGCAGCGCCTGCGGGCAGCTGATGCGCCGGCCGCAGATGTCGCACACACAGCGCTGCCGCGCCGCGCGCGCCACGCGGCACTCGTGCGCCGCCAGCTCGGAGGCCGTGGCGAAGGCGCGCCGACATTGCGCGCAGCCGTGCGGCCGGCGCGCCTTCACGTACACGCGCTTCGTGTCGTGGCCCGTCACGTGATAGTCGACGATGCGCTGCTGCGTGAAGCGGCGCGAGCACCGCGGGCATGGCACCGTGCGCTTCTGGCCGTGCACGTGCATGGTGTGGCGCGTGAGCTCGTCGATGCGCGCGTACGTGGCGTCGCACAGCTCGCAGCCGTAGCGCGGCGTCGCCTGGTCGTGGCGCAGCTGCAGGTGGCGCAGGAAGCGGCGCCGCGTGTCGAAGCCGGTCGCGCACTCCTCGCAGTGGTAGCGCACCGGCTGCAGCTCGGCCGGCTCGGCCGGCTCGGCGGGCTGTGCCGGCTGCACCTCCGCGGCCGGCGGCTGCGCCTGCGCGCGGGTGCGCCGGTCGCCCGCGTGCGAACGCAGGTGGTAATCCACGATGCGCTTCTGCGTGAAGCTGCGCACGCAGCGCGGACAGCGGAAGCGGCGCTCCTGCCGGTGCGCCTCGACCGAGTGGCGCGTGAGGTCGTCCAGCCGCGCGTACGAGCGGTCGCACTCCTCGCACGCGAAGCGCGCGCCGCCGTCGTGCTGCGCGCGGTGCCGGTTCAGATTGCGACGGCTGGCGAAGCTCACCTGGCACACGTCGCACGCGAGGGCCGTCGACTCGTCCGCCGAGCCCGCCGCCTCCGCCTCCGCGTCCGCCTCGCCCTCAGGCTCTCGCTCTGCCCAATCTGAATCGCTCTCCGGCGCGGCGGTGGCAGCGCCGGCGGCCGGCCGCGCGACCCTGCGCCGCTTCGCGCGAGGCGGCGCGCGCTGCTCGCAGCCGTGCCGGTCTAGCTGGCAGCGCTGGCCGAACACGCCGCTGCACGTGCCGCATCGGAAGAAGCCTGTGTCGGGCCGCGCCGCCAGGTGCGCGCGCATCTCGTCCTCGGGCAGCTCCTCGTCGCAGACACCACAAGCCAGCGTCTGCTCGGGCGCCACGCGCAGCCGGCCGCCGCCGGCCCACGCCGAGTCCACGTAGCGATGCGGCGCGCGCGTGCGGCGTTTGGCGCGGCCCAGCTCCGGCTGGCCGGACGGCGGTGCGGGCGGAGCGTGTCGCCGGCTGTGGCGGCGCAGCGCCAGCGATTGGCTGAAGGCGCGGCCGCAGCGGTCGCAGGTGAGGACGTCGTCCGCCGTGCCGTGCCGCCGCTGGTGCGCCGCCAGCAGCAGGCGGTCGGCCCACGCCTCGCCGCACCGCTCGCAGGTGAACGGCAGGGCCGGAGGCCGCGCCTCGACCGCGGCCGGCCGGCGGCTCCGGCTGCCGGGGAGGGCCGGCGCGGGCGCCGGGCCGACCGGCGTGGCGGGGTCGTCGGGGTCACAGTCGGGGCCGGGGTCGGGGTCGCCCTCTACCTCAGCTGGTGGCACATCCACGCTGGCTGGCTGGTGCGGAGAGATCGCCGCGATAGTCGACATGGGGAGAGGATCATCAACAAGGGCGTCTGAGTCACAGAGAATGGCTGCTGATGAGATAGCCAGGATGTCCATAGTGGATGTATGTAATAGAGTACCAGCTTCAGCTGCTCCCTGCTCCAGTGTTCTGCTGTGAGCTCCTGCAAAGTTAGCATATGTTAAAACACACAATGCAACTTGTACAAGGAACACAACAAAGTAAAATACAACAGTTTGTCACAAAGCCTGAATTTGAAGTCACAACCCAGAGAATTTTCAACATTGCAGAAGTACCAGTGACAAGTTGAGGCAAAATGACATCCGTTAGCACCAAAATAAGGTCTTGCCCAGGTGTGCTGCTGCTCTAAATTGAAATAATGGTATGCCCTTCCACCTTAAGCAAGTGCAACCTCAAACACACCATTTTACACAGAGGCATTCAAACCTGAGGAAGCAAGACCTCACTGCTTGTAATCAAAATCAATGATCAAACAGAATGTGCTAAATATTATATATATATATATATATATATATATATATATATATATATATATATATATATATATATATATAGAGAAGCACACACATGACAAAGCAATCCTACATACAATGCATACCAATCACATCAACCCAGTTTCAAAACAGACTTTTTAAACTTTGTATTTAGACAAGTTACTCCTAGCTCATTGAATAATTTGTTATAGTGTACCCTTTTATCTCTAGAGCTCTGTTCAAAGCATAACTCCATCAGTCTTCTCTGATTCCTACAGGCCCATATATGTTGTCCAGTGGTAAAAAGTGCATCCAAAAATACACACTTCTGGGAAAGCTGGTTAGGCATTTTATTCTATCATGTCATGTTCTTTCCTGCAAAATATGGGCCTTCAGACAAGCTTTAATGTTTATAACATACCATTATCTAGCTAGTATATATACTTTTCATGTTATGAGCAGAATCATGCATACTCATGGTGAGCAAAAAGGTACTGGCAGAATACCCATGATACAAAATGGAGCTAACACTCAGCTGGCTGCAGTGCAGAAACCAAGCACAAGCCCATAAACAACGCTAGTTCCCAACTTTATAATCTCCTTTCAATAAGACAAGCTGCCATACCTCTCCAAGAGATCCCATCTAAGTCAAAACAGTTCAATTCAATTTTAGTATGGCCCTAACTGAACTTCACATCCCACAGCAAGTTGGGTAAAGGCCATGGTGCGCCGCATTTTTTCTGTAAATTCCCAGCTCATAGCCCCTTAAGCGAGCAAGTTGCAGTACCTTATTTCACACTCACAAGGGCAAAGTGCAGGAGCTGTAGTTCATGAAACGTTCAAAAAGGCGTATCCGTTATGGCAAGCAAATAATGCCTTTATGTACCACTCCAACCTCACAAATACGGTGCGAAATCCATCATTCCTCCCCACCCTACAAGGCTCCACCACACAAGGCATGCACCGCCAATTCTGGCGTAGGTGTGCGTCATGTTTGTAGCAGTCAAGTTCGGATATGCGTGTCAGCTGATCTTTCGTTATGACGTGTACGAAACGTTTTATGAGGCGATTGTCATCGCTGAGTCTACATGGGGTCGGGGGATTAGACCGCACTGGGGACGGATGTATGCCGGGCAGCAGGCATGCAGTACTGAGGGCGGCTTCCGGCCAGACAACAGGCCCGCTGGGGACAGGCTTCCCGTTCCAGTTTGGGCAGCAGGCCTGCGCACAGGCCCAACTAGGGAAAAACTCATGTTGTGCAGTACACGAGCAGATGCGTCTTTTTAAATAATACAGGCTGTGCCGTAGACAAGCCTCTAGAACAAGCTGGGAGAGCTTATCGACTCTGCAGTTGGCCAGATGTATACTGTTCAAAGAGGGGAAGAACACAGACTGAACTGCAGACACGTGTGTACATGCATAAATGTGAAGGAGCATAGGCCGTTAAGTGGAAGGAACGCGACGCGTGCTGTCGCGCACCTTTTCATGAAGCGCCAGATACTGCAGTACACAATTGGCGCCCAGGCGCCATGTTGCGCTCGAGATCTGATCCCCGATTGCCATGTGGGAGGTGCCAGCGCTTGAACCACTCGGCCATAACGAATGATACGTCGCTGGCTATACAGTGAGCATACAAACCTGCCATGCAGAAGTCAAAGCGGGGTGGGGCAAGCAGCCAGTGGACAAGCATAACTTGAGGCACGCGAGTAAAACTGGCTGTATGGGAGGGAGCCCAACGGGTGGAGGTGGTAGTGTGCAGCTTAAACTGTGGCCGGACAACCAGTGAGACGTGTTCGATTGATTTGCAACTGTCGCTGGTACCATCGCGGAGTCCGGGGCTTATGGCTGTTGTTGAAAGGTGGAACCCACAGACCGTATGCATTCCATCTGATACAGGCACATGGTCGTTTACATATGCATCTGGAAAAGCACAGCTGCGGCCGAGAGGCGGGATCGACACCGCCAAATAAAAAAAGCGGTTACCTCGTATTCGTGTAGCGTAAACATTCGCAACCGAAAGACGAATGCGCGAAGTTTTTACGGAGGGTAATTCGCCATGTGACTGATCATGGGTGAAAAAGTGTATATTCTGTCACCGACAAAGATGAAGTTTGAGACAGCCTTAAATTGTCACCTTGAGCCAAAGCTGTCAGAAACCTTTGTAATATAACAATAAAGGCGATAAACTTTTAAAAAAGATAAAGGAAATGCAGCGCATCATTTACCATCATAAACACTTCCGTTTCAGAAGGTTCATTTATGCTAAATTATTACTTGCTGGCGATGACAAAAGTCCTCGTGTTTAGGGAGTATTATTATAGGGGATATATATTTAGGGAGTTTGGGTCTTTGTGCAGATAGGCCGGCGCAGTGGATTTTAGATTTTTGATTTTGGGTCCGTCCCTTCTGTCCAGACTTAAGGCGTCGCATGCACGAAGAAAGGCGAGAGCAGATCTGGCCAGCGGCCACATATCAGCTATAACTGCAGTATCTCACTTCCTTACGGGGCAATACCGGTGTTGGAGAAAGAGCCCTCGCAGGGTTTAATCCATACATCAAATCACTCCGTGCTGCTTTCCTATCAGTTGCATGCTCTCTTCGATCTTAAAAACTGCGCCACCTTAGGCTGAGAATTGTTAATTTGTGTCATATCACAGCTTTCCCCTATGTCTATAGCTGCAGCATCTGCACTAAAATTTCGTAGTTTTTCATAAAGCCTTAACTTCGGATTTCTAACATTTTTATCCGCGCCTAGGAAATATTCATTCCCAAATCCAGAACCATCAGCCAGACCAGGACCAGAGAGACACTGTACTGACTACAGATGGGTGATGTCTCCCACCAAGCGAGAGGTTTTAAGATAGGCATTTCCAGCCCTTGACATATGTGCCACTCGCCCAAAATGTTACCGCGGAATATATTCAGCAAAATATCATGTCCATGAAGCCTACTGAGGCTATGTCGTCTATCATGAGGTATAGTATTTAGTGCAGCGATTATTCCTATAACATAGCAGCTTAACCCTCGTCCTGATAGCGGCCATGCCCCCCCCCCCTCCCCACCCGGAGGCTTTTTGAGGATACTTCTCCGGCATGCGATGCAACCACATCCAAATACTGGGAATTCTAAGCTACTAAAACATTTTTATCCCAACAGTACCGTGCGCCAGTGGTCCCAGTTTAAAGTTCATGCTAGTTCGATCAGCCATGAAGACTCCAGTGCGGGCAGCGAGAGTGAAGTACCTCATACTGCTGATTTGTACTCTCATGTTTCACGGCCTATTCTGGCGTGCAGGAAAGCAGTGCAGCGAAGTCGGTTCCTACACAAAAGGACCCAGTTCATTAAACAGACCCTTTTTACATAAATTGCATCTATACAACTACAAAAATAATGTTCACGTCCATAACAGCTCATGCCAAACTGGCATGAGCCCTATCAATGGCTTCAAGACCTCACGGTTTTGCCAACAAAGCAAAATGCCGAGTTCAAAATGTTCAGTCGCATCCTGTCTGTGCAGGACTCGGAAACTCAGTTACCCACCCGTAGTATGTTAAAACCGCGCACCAGACACTCCCACACATTCACCCGACTTACAAACGCATCACTGCCCGCGATTTACAACTTTTTTTCGCTTGCCATTGTAGCTTGATAAGAAGGCTGGCAGCAGCAGCCCCTCCGCCCCTGTTCTCCCCCTCCCAGCTCTCCGTCCGTCATCCGTCAGACGTGACGCCGCCGGCTTCGTCAGACGCCCGTCACACAAACGGGGGGGGGGGGGGGGGGGTCGGCGCCCGACCGGCGAAACGTGCCGCGCGACGCGACCGGAGTTCGAGTTCGACCGCCCGACCGACGCTCGTCCCGTGTGACGACGCGCTGCTGCGGTGCAGGTGCGCAGTGCCGACGCCGACAGAGGGCGGCGGGACACTCGCGACGCTGCGGGGAAGGTGAGGTGTGTGCAGGAGTGGCACTCGGGAGCGAGGTGTCGGTGAAGACGGCAGAGGAGCGGGAGACGCCACACGCGGCTTCAGGGTGGAGATGTAGGTCGTGTGCGGGGCAGAGAGTGAAGGTGCGTCAAGACGGTGGCATGGAGGTGACCCTCGTGCGCGCGTGCATGGACGACGTGCGTCAGATGCATGAATGTGGATATTGGTGAACTCGGCAGCACAGATAATACGCCATACATAATTTTAAGGACAAGCGGGCTATGCTACATGCGTGGGACACTAGAGGTGGCTAAGACAGGTAACGCTTTCTCACCAAATTGGGTCCGCTTTCCTCTAAAAAATTTGAAGGCTGCGGCCACGCGGTAAATTGGCTACGAAATTATACCTTCCATGCGCATATACTGAGTTACATTGCATGAGGGCACTTCATCCACGTGCCGCGCACGGCAATACGCATTGAGCGCCCTGGAGTGATGATTACATTTGTACCGGATACGAAAACATAAGGATCTGACACGCAAACCTCCGGATCTGATAGATAACATCCGGCTCTGATACATAACAACCGGATCTGATGCGATAACATCTGTATCTGATAGGATAACATATACGTCTGATGTATCACATCTGGGTGTCATATATCACATATGGATCTAATACTGATCACGTCTGGACCTGATACTGATCAGGTCTGAAGCTGGCACGACGACCGGCGCGATTTGACCTCAGATGACCGGTGGTGACGGGTCGCAGATGACTGACGGTGACGGGTCGCAGATGACAGGTGGTGATGGACCGAAGCCTGACCTGCGGCGCAGCTCTGACAGCAAGCCGCTATCATGGACAGAGAGAGTCGAGGTGGGTCTCCAGCCGGGGCGGGTCTCCGGCCGAGGTAGGTCTGCAGTCGAGGTAGGTCTCCAGCCGAGGTAGGTCTGCAGTCGAGGTAGGTCTCCAGTCGAGGTGGGTCTCCAGGTCCAACACGTGTGTCATGCTACGTGTTATATCGTTTGGATGTGCTGCGGAAAGACCAATCATTCCGCAGCTCTGTAACGGGTTTCACGCGCCAGCCAACACCAGGTGCCTCCCACTGCACACCATGCTACATATGGTATGTTGTGTCAGATATAACGGAATATACTGTCTGGGTTGAGGGAGGATCTGAGAATAGCGTCACTTATACCCAAATCCATTTTATTGACATTCCGGCCATTTAGTTGATATTTGTAAGGAGAAAATATACAATCCTTGAGGTTACGCTGGCGATCTGGGATATTTATTTTAAGCGTCGAAGGATTCGGGGGACAGTCAAATCAAGAACCGCCCTTCTATACCGCCTTACTAACTATAGCATATTACTTATTGCTGTCTGAACACAACGACGGTTTCAACGAAGGATTTTGGGTCCAAAGCATTGGGAGCCATCAATTCCCCCTAACAGCCTTGCCGCCATTGAATTACACGTAGCGGTTATACCCTCGCGCGGGCTGTGAACGAAAATCGATCGCGTTCTGCAAGGAACAGGGCTGGGTGTTGCATTTCCTGCCAGGCGCGTCCCATCCGCTGCATATTTATCACGGGGCGATGCGGCACCACCTGCGCCTCCGTCGCCACCTGTTGCACCGTCGGACCCCGATAGCGGTCAACCTCTGACGATGCAACAAAAGAGCCCAACACAGAATCACAGTATCCGGTCACACGCACAGCACAGCTAATCGTCACATCAGCACAGCACCTGAAAGCAGCGCTGCCCAGCATAACAGCACAGCATCAACTCGATCACAGCAGCACACCACCACGGCTCCCCACATGTCATCCTGCCGCGCTGTTCGTCGCAGGCCTGGCGACCTCGGTGCCCGGGCCCGTTCTCCCTCCGCCACCGCCTGCCGCTCCTGCTTTGGCTGCCCCAGTACGGCGGGGGTCGGCTGCTGCGGGACACGCTAGCCGGCGTCACCGTGGCGCTGATGGCCGTGCCGCAGGGCATAGCTTACGGTCAGCTGGCCGGCCTGCCACCCCAGGTCAGTGACCTGGCCGTGTGTTTGACCCAGGGCCAATGACCCGGCCGTGTGTCTGATCCCAGGTGGGTGACATGGATGTGTGGTTGACCGCAGGTCAGTACCTTAGCAGTGTATTGTGCTTGACCCCGGATCAGTGGCCCGGCTGTGTGTATGACCGCAGACCAGTGGCCCGGACGTATGTTTGACCTCAGTTCGGCGGTTCAGCCGTAAGCTGACCCCAGGTCGGCGCCATTAATTTCATTCACTCATTCACATTCATGATTTCAAATCGTTCCGACAACCCGAACTGGCCTGCGTAAAATGTTGATGCGAATGTCTTTCCAATAAGCCTGCTCACGCCATGCAAGGGCTGGTAGCCGTTTTTTTATTATCTGATGTTGTCAATCCCACCTGCCGACCACAGTTATGCTTCTATCTGATATCTATCCTAAAGACCTATCCTATCACAAACACCTACCCTATCCTAGATACCTATCCTAGATACCGATCTGGACGACACATGCGCATGTATCAAAAGGAGGCATACGGCCTGTGGGTTTCGCTTTTCCAAGCACAGTCGTGAGACCCACCGTCCGATGTCCGCTGGCCGCGTGACTCACCCCAGTGTGACGCCTGTGTACCCAGTTTGTCCGCCCGGAGTGCCGCCTGTGATCTGCCGCAGGTGTGGCTGTTTGGTGTATACACGTCCTGCCGCGCCGTCTGTACCCCTCCCCCTTTGGGGTGGTTACACCTGGCCTGACGCGCAGTCATCAGTTAGGTCAGATTAGGGGAGGATCCCCTCCAGTCAGGGAACTCTCCTTCAGTTTGGCCTAGAGGTTTGTTTACCGCACAGGGTGTGCTGCTGATTAGTTTGACGTACCCCCCCCCCCCCCTCCCCCCGCCTTCTGCACAGTCCGTGCTATTTATTCCCCAGTTCGGCCTGTGCTCTGCCTGCTACCTGGCCTGCACCCGTACCCAGTTCGGGCTGCGCCCCCGCCTGCTACCCAGCCGGTAGCCGTCCCCAGTCCGGCCTGTACGCCTGCCTGCTGCCTCGTCTCCAGTCCGGCCTGTACGCCTGCCTGCTATCTGGCCTGTACCCGTACCCAGTTCGGCCTGCGCCCCGGCCTGCTACCCAGCCTGTAACCGTCCCCAGTCAGGCCTGTACGCCTGCCTGCTACCCCCGTCCCCAGTTCGGCCTGTACGCCTGCCTGCTGCCCCCGTCCCCAGTTCGGCCTGTACGCCTGCCTGCCGCCCCCGTCCCCAGTTCGGCCTGCATGCCTGCCTGCTGCCCTCGTCTCCAGTTCGGCCTGTACGCCTGCCTGCTGCCTCCGTCCCCAGTTCAGCCTGTACGCCTGCCTGCTGCCCCCGTCCCCAGTTCAGCCTGTACGCCTGCCTGCTGCCTCCGTCCCCAGTTCAGCCTGTACGCCTGCCTGCTGCCTCCGTCCCCAGTTCGGCCTGTACGCCTGCCTGCTGCCCGGCCTGTGTTACGCGCTGCTGGGGACGACTGACGCCGTCAGCATCGGCCCTACGGCCGTCATGTCGCTGCTGACGGCCGAGTTCGCCGGCGGCGACCCGCAGCTGTCCGTGCTGTTGGCCTTCTTCACCGGAGTCGTGGTGCTGACGGCAGGACTCGTCAGGCTGGGTACTGGCTCGGATGCCGGGCAGGATGGCCGACAGACAGCGAGTGTTGTCACGCCTCGCCAGTCAGGAAGGCCTGCTTCAACCGCTGAATGTTGTCCGATTGTCTTGCATGTCGCTGTAAGCTTTTTCATTTGATCCGCATTTCGTGGTAAGCTCTCTCCAGCTGTAGCCTCTCGCGACTATCTTAACCTCATCACAATTTTCGGTGGATTTTTTTGTCGAGAGATTGCCACGTGCAATGCTGTGCCATGGCCGCCCTTACTTCAGCCGGGCTTTCTCGGCCAGTTGCCAACTGGCCGCCAAAAGACGAACCAAATAAGTTCGGCTTCCAGGACGTAAGCCTTGAGCTCAGCCTGGAATTGGTCAGACTCTGCAACGCCCCTGCCTGTGGAGCTTTGTAGACACAACAACCTAAATACCACCGTACATTAATTTTTAAGGTTTATCGGTGCCTGTTTCCTATCGGGACCACTGCCAAGGACGACAAGGCTTGCGATGTCGCCATGATCAAAAACGGACATTCGGCTATAAACTCTTCCTTAAAGCCTGAATGCCTTCGAGACCATGGAGAAGATCATAGAGCCGTGTACGAGACAGAGTGACCCTGTTAACTGTCAGTCAAACTGCACCCTCTTCACCCGGCCGAACAAAAGATATGCCAAATGTAGTGAGCTATGGTCATCGCTCCTGTCTTTATACTGGCCTTAGATGACCAGTGCTGTTGACGCGTACTTAAAACTCAATGACTTCTGCCATTATTGTCTCCGTAGGGTTTTTGGTGGACTTTTTCTCCGTTCCCGTCGTCTCTGGTTTTGTGTCAGCGGCTTCAATCACCATTTGTTCCACGCAACTCAAGGGACTGCTTGGAATCAAAGTAAGTCATTTTCAAAGCATGCATTTGTGAAATTGAGAGCACATTTTTGCACATTTTGGAAACAGATATGATTATGTAATGCTCCACTTGCCCAGATTTTATCAAACCTCTTAATGCGATGTACATACCATGTATCTTCCCCCGTCTGACCAGTTTCGTTATTTCATAACTCTGAGTGGATATGGTAAGGGATTAAATCTTTACATACACTCAAATGTGTGTTGAAAATCCCAGTTTATGTGGCAGCATGTGGAATCTGATCCGGCGTCGAAAAATGAAGCCGGTTTTCATTTCTTTGCAATGAAGACTTTTGGGTTCAAAAGAGGCGGTGCGGGAGGTGAGCAAACTCGTCCGTGCTGAACTTCATGCCCACTCCTCCATTGCAGGGATCGTCGGGCAAGACCATGATTGGAACGCTGCGACATGTCGCCGGCCACATTGACGAGACCAACCTGTGGGACCTTCTGCTCGGCACAACATGCATCCTGCTGCTGCTCGGGCTCAGGGTAAACAGATGCTGCGCTGTGGCTCTGAGACCTCCCTGAAAATGGTCTCCTGCTGATCTCGATTTGTAGAAGTCGTGCTTACCGGAATGCTTCCTAGCTTCGATATTCAAGAAAAAGAGAAAGTTCGGATCTCATTTGGCGATTTGTGATCCGATCAAATGTCAAACAAGTGCAATGCTGCCCTGCATTCACTTCCTGTTTTACTGTTAAGCTATTAGTAATGAAATGTTGTCGTATAAGTGCCCCTACATCCCAGATGTCTCCTACAGCGCCCGTGCGAAGGCCAAATCTGCGGGATTATTGCAGGGTTAATCAAAAACCTCTGGCGAATGGAAATATATTGACTGAATAAAGGGTACGCCGCATGACTTGTGCATTCAATTCAAAACTTGATTTTTGGCTAGTGCCAATCCCGTTACAAAGATTGGATCAAATATCGATGTTTGTTCCTCATGGACTATGATACCTAGATAGATATATGTGCGGTAGTCGGGAGGTGAACTGAGAAAAAAATCCCTGCTTGCAGACAAATTTCTTTTTATTTACTACTTTAATTTACTAATTTACCTAACCATTCATATATTAGGCGTTGCATGAAAACCAGCCTTGTGTCGTCTGTGGTGCTCTTAATACACATCGCTAATTATCATAATGATCACAAATCGCTTGTCCGTTCTATTACTACTTGTGCTGTTTGTGGTGCTGTGTGTCGTACTGTCCTTGTATGCCTGTGAGTGTTCTTGCCGTTTCTTCACCAACAGCGTTATCTATCCGCTTGTATGCGCAGCTGTGCACATGTTGTGCCTTCACCAGCTGGGTGGCATGATTGTCCCCCTTCGGCAGTGGCTGGGCCAGCGCGCGGGCAGCAGCGGCACCTCCGCTGGCCGCCGGAGCCCGCTGGCAACTCTCCAATGGCTGCTGAGCATCGCCAGGAACGCGCTGGTGGTGCTGCTGGCCAGCCTGCTGGTGCTAGCGCTGGAGCGCCATCAGCTTAGCCCCCTCTCCACCACTGGTGATGCCGGAGGATGCGACTTCGCGGGGGTGGCACTGACCGCATCGATCTTCATTGAAATGATCGTGCTTGAAGATCTTTCCAATAAAGATGCTCATTCCAATAGCGTTAGCATGCCAGCTCTGGCGCCTCCGTCCACAAACGGACATTAAGCTTCGCATCCCCGAGCAGCGACGTGCCTTCTACGTTCAGACTAAGATGTCGAAATGCTATGAGTTCAGGCTCGGATATATATAGCCCTTGACGCTCGCCTCACAGGCTTTCAGTTCGTTGATTCTGAAGTAGTGCATGTCGGTAAAGCTCCGTGGTTTGGTGACGCTGGCATGTGTTCCTTAGACGGTCGTTCATGTGAGCGTTATCACGCTACGCCGAGTGCTTGCAAAGTTCTTTGCATCTTAATGTCATATTGAGCGAACATAACATCAAATGCTCATCTTAACGTAACACTGAGTACAACTTAACAAAGCATAACATAACCTTTAGACCCTTATATTTCTATATCTGCGCTTATTATCACTTTCTTTTGCGTTCCTTCCGACAGGGTCCGTGATCCAGCCCAATTGACCTTGACCTTGACCTTGACCTTGACCCAGTTCTTGACCGCAACCTTGACCTCCTGTCGCCGTCCGCCAGAGACGGTGCCGGTGGGGTTCCCGGCGCCGCAGCCGCCGCCGTTCGCGCTGCTGGCGGTGAACGGCACGCGCGAAGAGGCCGGCCTGCTACAGCTGACCCGCCAGCTGGGGCTCGGCCTGCTGGTGGTGCCGCTCGTGTCCGTCATCGAGTGTATGGCCATCGCCAAGGCATTCGGTGAGTGGCGCGCTCTGCTGCCAGACCTGTTTTTTTTTGTCGCCCTTGTCAGATGTGGTGATCAAATAACCGATAGTAATTTTTAATTTATTAATTCATTGATTTACATATATATATATACATTAATATAATATTATATCTTAATTTAATAGTAACTTTCCAGATGCCTGTTGGTCTTATAAACATTTCTTAATCCTTTATATGATGGCAGCGACTTTCTTAGCCTGGTGCGTATGCAGAATTTTGTAATAAGGATGGTGGGTAGACAACTCAAAAATTATAAACCGTGTTTGTCACACACATCACTGCCGGAAACGAATCTCGATTGGGGAGGGCACAGCATGAATACCCCACCGATTTTAGTTTGATTTGCCCTAGAACGAGCCGAGCATTGCTTCTCAAAAGCCGTTTTCGAACCCAGTAATGTGAACCCAGCAAAATCCAGGGCAACGTGCATCGTCTTCGGTCTTAACATCATGAGACAGCACATAACTGTCATAAAGAGGGCAACCCAGGTGGCATCCGTCGCACTGAGCCTGTGACGCGGCCAAATCAGTGGTGTTATTCCCTATTTAGTGGGGGGGGGGGGGGCTCCAGCGCCCTCCCCAAATTTAAGAGGAAGATGGAAATCTCTAGGAGAACCCTGTTTAGGTGTATTTTGTTTACAGGTCGAAGCCATTTTTCCTGCTGAGTCCTAGAGCTTAGTTTTGCGAAGCTGCATTCCTTGTCGACATCTGGCATGATTTTGCAGTCTGAATGTACTTTTTGTCAGAAAGAACGGCATCATATGAATTTGGAAACTATGCAGCTTAATCCCATGTATTTCATTGAATAAAAAATTGGGCCGGCCCATTCCCCTTCAAAACTTTGCCTAGTCCAACCCGTGTTCTTTCTTAAGCAAGTTGAAAGCTCTGTCACCGTATTCACCTTATTCAACCAATGTCTTCCTTTTTGCAATGATTTTTTCCCCAACTTGCACTAGTTCTGCAAACTTCGGACCCTAGCATGGCCCAAGAGAAGGTAAGCCAGTGGGCGGATTTGGCACCTTAATGATAGCAATAGCCTAGTCCATAGGGTTGCGCCGAAAGAAAACACAACGCGGTGATAATTGACTTCTTATCTTTTATTGTACATTTGCGCACATTTAATCCAAATCTTCTGAATGGATATATTGCTGGGTTTAGGCCTCGTGCTAAGCTGCGCTTGCTGTGTGAGCCCTGCCCCAATACTATTCGATCGCGTAATTCCAAGTCTACGGCATAATTTGGTGACGTAAGCTAGACGTGCCGCATTGCTGGGCGTGCTCCACCCTGCCCTCTGACGTCATCTGACCTTTAACGCGACTGCTGCCAACGGCCGAAGGCCGTACTTGTCGAGAACTTTGTCAAATTCTTTGACGCACTTGAACATTCTTTCCGCTACTGGAAACATACAATTATTACATTGTGCGGTTAGTCCATCCCCTCTCAAGAGAGCCTCCCTCGCCCCCTTCGTCTGACCTGATCTGATCTAACCCGAACTGACCTGACCCCGGCAGCGGCGCAGGGACGCGCACAGGACTCCTCGCAGGAGCTGGTGGCGCTTGGCGTGTGTAACCTGGTCGGCTCGTTTTTCTCGTCGTACACCGTCACCGGCTCGTTCTCGCGAACGGCGCTTAACCACGCGTCCGGAGTCGCCACGCCCATGGCTGGGGTCGTCACGTGTAAGTTGGGCGTGCACGTGCGTGCGCACGTGCGCACGTTTATGGCGCACGCTAAGACGCAAGCCACTACCCACATGAGCATGCGTAAAGCCACGCCCATACGCAACCATGCACGTGGATGTTTACTCACACGAATAGGTAGGTGTATACCCGCATACGCACCGTACATAGGATCATGGTATTGTGGACAAGAGCGTGTGCAATGGGGAGGGGGCACAGCGCAATTTTTCGCTGATTGTTTTTGCGCGCTACAGACGTGCGCAATTTCGCGCATGACAATGCACGAACAGATTTTTTTGCTTAAATCAACCTATATGTATGCAGTGATATTTTTGCGTTGTAAACATTAACTCGCATTCATATTAATGCATGCACAAATTCAAGGAGGGGAAGGGCCACGTGTCCCCAGTTCCCCACTTGAATATGAGCCTGAAAGGGCAAGCGTTTTGAATATAAGGCTTTATTTTTAAACTTGCCCGTTCCACCCTTCTCATCACTTAATTAGTCATCAGGCGCACACCTGAAATGGTCGCCTGCAAAATTAGCCCGATTAGACCTCGTAAACCCGGTTTTTGGTGGCGTATCCAAAAAACAGCTTTTTTTTTTTGCTAAATATGAAGGCATGTTTCGCAGCTGTAGGAGTCGCCCATGCACTTACCCGCGTACACCATGGAGCATACTCCCCTGGTAGATCTGCCAAGTCATGCTATCTACCTAGCCAACTGCGAGGCACTCTTTCAGTCTATCACACAGACACATCCAAACCACACGATACACTGTGTTGCCGATGTGGCCGGAGTGGCCGACATATGGCGTGGCCAGTGTGGCCTCAAACAAGGATGACCTCGGGCATAGTGTACCTCAGGTGAGGGAACGGTCGCCTCGCAGCGAAAGGTGTGATGTTCAAGCTTGGCTTCCTGCCAATGGTGTCACCACCCCCGCAAAACTCAGCGTTGAGGACTTCAAAGTCAAGTGACCTGAGCCGTTTGACGTCTCGTTAAATCCCAATAACAGCAACGCCCACGTCTGTCGCTCGGCGATGCTGTAGGCGTACTGGTGGTGGTGGCGCTGGCCGCGCTGACGCCCTACTTCCGCTTCATCCCGACGGCAAGCCTGTCGGCCGTCATCATCTGCGCCGTCGTCTTCATGGTCGAGTGGAGGATGGTGCCCACACTGTGGCGCTGTCGCAGTGAGTGCAGTGGCAAAGGCAGGGACGGGTTATGTGCAGCTATTGAGCCGGTGTTATTCGGGTGGTAGCAGGAGATGGCGCCCGCACCCTGTGACGAACGTTTCTTACAAAGCGTTGCGGTGAAAGTGGGCGCGCCGCATCCTAATAATGAGAGGTGGGGCGGGGGGGGGGAGGGGAGGGTACACATGTAGCCAGTGAACTGAAGTGGTTCGGGTTTGGGACGAGCGTGTATTCAAACGATACGTGAAGGCCAACATTCCACTCAATCCTTTGCTTCTTTATTGTCAAAGGAGGATGGAAAAGGTGTGCAAGTACGCTCGCAATGGACAGCTTCTGCACCGCCAACTGAGATCGATAAGCCAGCAGGCGTTCACCATTGTCGACCAGGATGCACCGCCTACACCAGCGTTACGTGGGTGTACCGCTTACACCAACGTTCAGGTGGATACACCAATGCGTGCTCGGCAGAGCCGGACCTGTTGCCGCTGCTAGTGACGTTCCTGGTCGGCCTGCTCTGGCGTCTGGAATACGGCATCCTGCTGGGCACCGGCGTCAGCCTCCTGCTCCTGCTGCACCGGTCGGCTCGGCCGAAGATCGTCGTCACCACCAAATGGACGGTCAGCGCGGCGAATGACGCGGTTCTGAACCGTGCTGTGCTGCTACCGGTGGTGTTTCGAAACGATCTGAGCCTACATTTGCTGATTTGAGCCATTTTGAGCTGAGGCATCGTAGTTCATATAGTTCTGAGCGCGGTAGTTGAAGTTGAGAAGTTGCGATGCAGACTGTCTATCGTCCCATCGAACACAAAACTGCCTATTGCTAAAATCGTAGCTGGTGACTGGACCCATGTTTTTTAGCTGATATGCCGCGCAAAACGTCAGCCATTCGCCTGCTGAGACCGTCTTTTTCCGGTTAACCCCCTGCTGTGCTCTTGTCCTCGGTTGTGCTCTTGTTCTCCTCTGCTGTGCTCTTGTGCTCCTCTGTTGTGCTCTTGATTGTTCCTCCAGTGTTTGGTCTCGTACCCTGCTGGGTCTTTATGTGTTATTCGGGTCTCACATCCGCTTGTTACGCCGCTGAGCAAGCGCATCGCATCAAGGGCTGAATTCCCCGCGTTGTGCTCACCCCAGCCGGCTGGTGGCCGGCCGTACTTGCTGGTGACACCCGAGTGCGGACTTCACTACCCGGCCGCCGAGAACCTCCGCGACCGCATCCTGGCGGCGGCTCGCGGAAGCTTCCCTGCGCCGGACCGGCCGGCAGAGGGCGAGGCGGCCGTCAGCTGCGCTCCGGAGGTGACCCGGCTGTGCCCCGCTGACACTGGCCGGGCAAGGGTCACGGAGGGCGAGGTCAAGGTCACGCGTCTGGCCGGAGAAGGTGCAGGCGACGGATGGACGGCACTGGATAGTGAAGCGGTAAGCGGCCGAGGGGTTCAGGAACTGGCTTGAGATCGAGAGATCAGGAGTTTGATTCCTTTCACAGAAAACGTTTGGTGGGTGCTGTGCACGACAGGATAGAGCGAAGCTGATGGCATTAGCGGTCACGTGCATTCATAAACAACGTAACACCATGGGCGTTTCCTGCGGGATATGATGTCACGAAATGACGTCACTGCCGTCTCTGACGGCGATCCCTTGTCTGTTCAGAACGGCCTATCGGATGGACACGCTGGGGAGGACAGCAAGACTGAGGAAACTTCCCTGCCAGTGGTTCTCAACTGTCGCAACATACGCTACACAGACTTCACGGCAGCCAAGGTAGCGTGGCGACCGGTGCTATAGTGGCTTAACGTAGCGTGGTGGCCGGTGCTACGGCGGTTTAAGGTGACGTGACAGTCGGTGCATTGGTGGCTTGAGGTAGCGAGGCGGTCAGTGCTACGGTGGTTAAGGTAGCGCGGCGGTCAGTGCTACGGTGGTTAAGGTAGCGTGACGGTCGGTGCTACGGCGGTTTGCCGCTGCGTCTCTTGACGCGTGACTCGCTTAGCATTGTGCTGCGTTTGTGACAATGTCCTGCTAATGTCCTCTTAATTTTCATCCGGTAATCATATCCTAGCTGCAAATTGTATCGTTTAGACAATGTAGTCACGCTATTGATGAAACCAGCTCAGAGTACGCTTCGGAGAAAACATGGAGCCATTTAACCTCGTCCTTGATGGTTAAAGTACCGCCGTCCAAATGTGTTAATGTCCCCATATGCTAATTTTTGGTCATCTTGCGCTTTGTGTGTTATCTTATTCATCTACTCATGCTGATTCCGGATATTTGAACAATCAGTTGAAATTTTCACAAACTTTTAACCCATGATTTAAGCTAAAAGTTCGTGAAAATTCAACCATTGGTTTAAATGGACGAAAGACGATATTTAGTATCGTCTTTCTTTGACGTCTTGACGGTATGCCCTTATACGCACTATTGTTGCTGATAAACACACATACCTCGTGGAGCATTTAGCGCCACCTCCTCCATCGCTGCAGCGTTTCACCGTTCCTGGAGCTCTGCTGCTTAAGAATGTCACTGTCTCCGGAGCCTCTGGCTCATCTTCCCTGATCAGGAGCGTGCCTTATCTAGCCGTGGCATGTCCCTTTAAGTGTAATATGATAAAACCCTCTCTCCAATGATGCCTGATGCCCTCTGCTGAACACCCTCCTGAGTTCTCTCCATTCCTGAACCTGTGGCCGTGCATGTACCGGTCCCTGGCCCCCATCCGCTCCTGCAGAGTGTAGCCGTGCCTGGACCGGACTCTGACCTCCACCCGCTTCTGCGGAGTGTAGTCGTGCCTGTACCGGACTCTGACCTCCACCCGCTTCTGCGGAGTGTAGTCGTGCCTGTAACGGACTCTGACCTCCACCCGCTTCTGCGGAGTGTGGCCGTGCATGTACCGGTCCCTGGCCCCCATCCGCTCCTGCAGAGTGTAGCCGTGCCTGGACCGGACTCTGACCTCCACCCGCTTCTGCGGAGTGTAGTCGTGCCTGTACCGGACTCTGACCTCCACCCGCTTCTGCGGAGTGTAGTCGTGCCTGTACCGGACTCTGACCTACACCCGCTTCTGCAGAGCGTGGCCGCCGCCGGCCGGAGCCTAGAGCAGACCGGCGCCGGACCCCTGCTCCTGCTGGAGGCAAAGCCGTCGGTGCTTGCCGTATGGACAGCTGTCGATCCGGAGGCGTTCTTCATCTGCTGCTCGGAGGCCGCCGCCGCCCAGCGCGTGGACGACGAAGCGAGGAGCCGGTTTGCAGACGAAGGTCTTATGCATTGTGGTCGGGTTATTTGAAGCAGGTTCAGGCTTGCCACATTTAGAGCGGCATTGACCTGAATTGGATCCTTTGATCATCATGTGATCATCTCTGTATCAAGCATCCATGTATATTGCGCGGCTGGCAACTTGTAACACGAAAAGGAGTGCGCTGCTGAGTTGCTGAGAAGGGAATGTTTCACATTTGAAGATATTGAAGCAGCCACTAGATATGATGAAACAAACTTACATGTAACTATTGATATGCTTTTTAAGTTGAAAAGACTGCTCTAAAAAGGACAATTCTCTGTTTATTAAATGTGCTCCTCAATGCGTCACGGTTTAGTCACGTCCTCGTACCTTGCACAACAATGATTGAGTGCCAATTGACGGGTGTTACGTCTGGAAATCGTGGTCATGTACGCCAGATATAAACGTCTCGACAATTACATTTCTGTTGGCCTTAATCGCCGCATGGTTTATGGCATGACAGGATTTGAATTAAGTTGTTATGACAGAAATGTCAAAATGGCTTTGATAGAATCTCCCGAAATATTTATCCCATTTTTGCTGGCGTATAGCTTAGAAACTAGAGGGGTTAAGATAGCTCTAAAGAAGGGCAGTATTGTGGGCAGCACCGAGAGGTCTTCAAGATGACCCTTTCAGTTCAAAACCACATAGCAGTATGCAACCCTTCCTTAAACGGTATCATGTCTTTAGGGTTACGTGTGCTTTTTTGTTGTGAATCGGGAGCAGATGACGTCACATCACACCAGCTGAGCACGGTTTCCCTGTCTCCAGGTGGAAACCAGAAGCCAGTCAGCGGCGTCCGTTTCAGCCCGCACCAAGGCCAGGTCGCTGACCTCGCTGACGGGTCTGAAACACTGCTGGAGCCTTCGCGCCACACCCTTGTCCGAGAAAGTCATCCGAACCACAGCATCGAGAATGCTTAGTTAGTGACCCGATTATCTGAATCGAGCGCGCATGGTGAACTTGTTGATAACCAAGTGCCTCTAATGTATAAAACTGCTGTGCTGAGTACGTGGCGGACTGCGTTGCGGCATCCGTCACGCATGGTGAACCGATAAATTATATAATATATTTGTCACTGAAAGCGAATCAATTTCCAGCGTGGAGATTGTGCGGTGAATCGAGTCACAGTACTGAGCAAGCGTGAACCGAGGTCATTACCTGCATGTGGTGCCAAGCCGCCATACCCGGTTAATTTTCACTATCCGACATGTGCGAATCCCAGGTATAAGCATAAGCTCCATCGTATGCTTCCACGAATGTGGTCCAAGTCGTCCGAACATCGACCATGCATGCCGAGTCGATTAGCAGCCTCAAACACTCACGTGAAGCCGATGTACAGCGTCAAGTATTCGTGAAATGCCGACTACCATGGCAAAAGAAACGTTCATTTTGTAAATGTTCAACATTGTATTTGCTTATTACCATTTTTGAAAATATTTCTGAGCACTTGTATTTATACTGTGTGCATATGGAAAACCCAGCACTGTGCGCGTTTAAAAGCCTAAGACAATATCATTCGGGAACTTTGCTGTTGACGTACAGGGCTTTATTTGGATAAATGATCGAGTGGATATATTGTGCTCGAAACAGCCGGAGTGTATAATCATCATCAAAAGATTATGAATCATCTGAGATGGCGGAAAATGTGTTCCTTATTTCTCGTTACTTTCCATGATATGGCTAATGTGAAATTCGAATAGATTGGGGGTTACGTGCTACTCCCTTCACTATCATTCAATGTGAGGCTTGCAACTTGCAGAATGCGCCCAACATTGCTCCAGTCTTAATTTGTTTCCCATACCCTAGCAATTTTACATATTAGTCCTTCTTTCCCATCCTTACCGTCATCTAACGTGTGGGCTACTTGATTATGCCTACAGCGACCGCCACAGCAATGGCCACGATGTGTTGTGATTTGCTGAGTTGGCAAAAAATAAACATAAATAAATCAAATCCAATCCCTTTGTGGGATTAGACGGTTTTTGTTCTAACAGTTCATATTGGCAAGCTCCAGAAGCTGGCAGTGCAAGGTGGTAGAAGGTGAATGGTGGCAGCGTTTATTTCTGACGATGGCTTCATCCATGAACAGAAGGTTCAAAATGTACGGTGATGCCACCGTGTACTTTCTTTACAAACAGTTGAGACAGGGCTATATTTTGAGCATTTCTAAAAATGCTTCACAGATGCCCGCTTTAAACTCATTTTTGGAGACGTCTCCGACGAAAGGCATTTTTTACTTCGGTGCTCCGCCGCGGTAGCGGTATGTGCCGTGATGAGAGCTTGGTCAGTGAAATCGTCGCGGTCGCTGGAGCGCGAATCTAGTGATAGCGATAGCTGTGGTGAGCTCAGCGATAAGTCGATGGCGGTTTCCATGCCAGGGCGTAACTAGCGGTAAGTATTATTTCCGTTTTCTGACAAGACTTAATTATGAGCATCAATGAAATCTTCAATCAAATGTCCTCTGCGATTGACAGCCTGGGTGCCGTTACTCCAAATCGGGCTGTGACCGTTGAAATCACCGAGGATGAAAAAAAGGTCACGAAAGTGAGTAACTAGCTGGTCAAGTTGCCGCGAGAGCTCCGAGTCATTCTCAGTTCGAGTACAAAGAACATACATCGCTGATGCGGTCATGAAGCCGCACAGAACATGCACCAGCCTGGAGGTACGCTGAGTGAAAGACGCGTGCGTGTTATTTCATTTCTGATGCATTGCGCCACCCTCACCTTGGCGACGCTCACCGCCTGCGTCGTCACAACGATGTAAAGAATACTTTGGTATTTTACAGCTATATGGAGCTGTAAGGACGAAACCAAGTTCTTTGTGTGGCAATAATAATTGAAGCTTATGCTGCAAAAAAGTGTTTGCACTTTTAACAATTTTGAAATAAGACGGCTACAATTCCACTGTGAGACAAAATGGTGAACAATGGTGAATGGTTAATGGTGAACATGGTAAAATGGTGAATAGACCCATTCCCAGCGGTTGGTGGGAAGGGGCCAAGCGAAACGGGCCGAGGCCGTCCCATCGCCACCCTCACTGGCGGACGGGACCGACGGTCTTCGTTCGGGCGTGTCACGGAAGGTGCTGTGCTAGAGGGGGAAAGGGGGAGGAGGGGGGGGGGGGGGGGGGGGGAGCGTTCGTGTGGCGGCCAGAGGGATCCTGCTGCCGACCGTTCGTAGCCGGAGGGCTAGGACGTCGGCCGGGCTGATGACGGAAGGGCGCGGAGGGCCGTGCGTCTGGACGCCTGGTCAGGCGGGGCTCGAGGGAGCAAGTTTGCTAGGCTTCTGTGTTCGATGCAATGGAGACAGTCTTGAGTGGAGCAAAAATTTTCAGCGGCGGCAAGTGGGAAATCGGTTCTGTCTGTGTGCCACAAGCTGCCACATATACATTTGTTGCTTGCGCGTGCGATTTTGGGCAAGACAGATACATATTTGCCTTGACAGCGTATCGTGCCTGCGGGTTAGACACACCAGTCTCGGCACTGAGAATGGTTGGCGTTGTGGTCAGCACACACACAGCTGAAGCATTTTGGGGTGATGTGCATGCAGAGCTCTTGTGAGTAGGATTGTGAATATAGCGGTTAGTAGGAAGGGGACATGTTTCTTGAACGGCAATGATGATTGATATTGAGAAAGAAAAAAAAACAGTTTCGCTTCGGCTCGTTCAATAACTAATTTTCGGCAGTTTCAATGTAAAAAACATGGAAAATTGCTTTAAGTATGACTAAGCCGAGCACTGTCAAGTGCTAGCACTATTATCGGGATCTTGTCCATGTGGCCATGTGACATGGACCGTGCCCGTACCATAGATCCCCGTACAGCTGGACGGGACCGGATATCCATCCGAAACCGAATAACCGGAAGAAGAGGCATTACATGTATATAGCAGGTATGGACCAGTATTGAACGCTGTATGCCACGTAACACAAGAAATTAGACATTTCTCCCTGTTTTTTTTTTTTACAAAAAAGGCTTGTAATATAATAATTCAAGAAAAGCACAACGACCGAGCATGTCAATACCAGTAAACTTCATCCATCGATAAATATACAAGAACCACGAGAGAAGGACAAAGCACGAGCACATAACGATATCAGGTTCAGGATATCCCCAGCACTGCTGCGGCCACCTCTCGGGAGATTTAAATCCTACAAGTGAATGCTAGGTGGCAATTTCGCACGGCCAGTTTGGCTTCACCTCAACGGCAGGTAAGCGTTCTATGACGCGATCAAATGATGACGTATGAAGTGGCATATTTACTTAAAAGATAGATTTCGTTGTCAAGGGCAGTATTCTCCACTTCAAAGTATGTACAAAGTTATGTGAGCTAATTTCATAACATCTAATGCTTTATCCAAGATCCTCAGATGTGGAACATTCCCTTTAAAGGGAATCTCCACATTTATGTGGGGTTTTGAGCCTAGATAGTCATTTCAGAGATCATTCAGTGCAGTTCACAGTCATGCCCTTTGCCAGGTTTAAAACCCTCTGGTTTCTGAGCTTGACGCTGGCAAACTTGTGCAGACTGATTCAAGGCCACCCAGACATTCATTACGTCACACGAACGTCACGCAAATACCATCACTTATTGGCCGTGTAATGCTCAACGCCAAGAAAAAATAATGCCCACCAAACTATTGATGCCTGGCGCATGTGAGCAGGATTCGAGACTTCGGCGGTCATCAGTTGGCCTTGGATCATTTTGATGCCATGAGTGCATGCTTTTAAAACTAATCGCGTTTTATGCTACACAATTACAGGAATGATACATGCATAGATATGTCCATATATATATATATATATATATATATATATATATATATATATAAACGTATGTTTATATGTACGTATATAAACATATTATAATGAACAGGAACGTGTGCAGTGATACTGGTCACGACGGAAAAAACTCCTCGAACACCTCGAGAAATGGCCAGAACACGCGAACAGAATGATACTTTGGTTTCGCCAACACGTGCTAAAGCGCCTCACATCTCGTCAAGTTAAGGAAATATAAGTGATTCAGCCCGCTAGCTGCAGTCGCAATTGTGACACGACCACCTGGAAGCGACTCTGACGTCATACTAACGCTGCATGACGTAATGAAAAGATGTTGCATTGAAGAGCTTGGTTACAAAGATGTGATATTTTGTTATCTGGATCAGTCTTGTGCACTTAAAAGCATACCATTGGTTGCAAGTGAGCTTATTTCTTCGCATCTGATGCTTGCCTCATCACCTTCAAATGTGGAACACTCTCTTTAAGAACTGGCTGCGTTCTGAACTTATTTCAAGGAGTGACAGGGCTCTAGTGGTGTTTTGCGTTATTTGTAGCTGAAATATATCCAAATGACTGCGTTTCATTTCGGTAATGAGTCCATAACATTTAGTTACTCGGCCCTCGTGCGAGACTATTAGGCGACACAGGAGAAAACCACCGTATCAACATGGTCTGTATTGTCCAGTGCAACAGAGTTCCGATGCACCATGTCACAGCGGGCATGCTGCATGCCGAAGTAATGACACGCAATGTCCCGCACTGTCGACTACTATCAAATGTGGACAGATGATAACATCCGTCCACCGATCTTATAATAATTAGCATGCACTCAATACACACTTACAATAAATACGCCGTAGAAGCATATGTATCGATTATTCAGTGGGGCGACAGGCCTGACATCATAGAAATATAAGTCAAACGCAGGTAAAACGGTGCCCGAAAGGTAATTCAATTGCGGACAGCTGGTTCTACAAAAGATCAGGTGGTGTTATTCCAGAGCAAAAAAGGGTGATGCACGTACAAAACAAAGCGCAACAGCAAACTCTAAAATGATCAGTTCTTAACTCTACGCAACAGCAGTAAGACGATTAGTGCTTAGATCTCAGCAACGGCAATTCATAAATCACGAACTTCATCATAATAACTTACCTCGCCTGTATTATATAGATAGTTTGTAATGACCATTGACGGTGGTTCAATGCATTTGATGTTTTCACATCCATGGAAAATTCCTTGAAAGTGAAGATAAATATTGGGGGTCTTGTGATATCCTGAACCTCCCACAAGGACAATCTTTAAAGCTACATCTCTAAGTTCCTTGCAGCTTCTATTTGTAAACGCCTTGCTCAAGCGTTGCACGTGTGGGACAGATACTGTTGATCTGTCCTCACATGTTGTTGAACTGTCCGTCACATGCGGCTGTCAGCTGTCAGAACACAACTCTGTCAACGAGGACGAAAACATTTTAACAGTAGCGCAAAATAATCGTAAACAAATCATTGGCTCTACTAATGGAGGCCTTCGCGGATTAAATTGCGACATTTCGTGGCTTCCGACACCAAGGAAATTTGTGCACCAAGGAAATTTTCTTGAATGAAGATAGCAAAACCATCCAAAAAAAAAAAAACAACAAAAGTCGCACAGCTTGCGGCGGACATGATAGCGAACACTTTCAGGATCAACAATGATCTCGATTACATGCATAGGCCACCCTGCCAATACACCAGCGCATGGTCGACACTCGCGGGAACCAGGCAGGCTGACCCTGCATCGGCCCGCGCCGGGCACGCTGTGCCCCGTCTAGGAATGCCCTGCACGCGAGCCACGTGCGCAGCCGCCCTGCGGGCCCGCATGCGTCAGCGTCTACAGCTAATGAGAACTACAGTGAGTGTGAGCGTCCAGCGCATCGGAGGCCTCCGCCACGGGCCCCAGTGACGTAACAACGCTCCCGCACGCAACAGGGCGCACAGCCAGGCTTCCCGACCGACACGCCGAAACCTTGAACTCGGCCGCGGGCGCGCGGAGTCTCCGCGGGCGGCTTGTCGCGATGTTGAGAGCAGTCGGGTCGGTGGCGGGTGTGACAGCCGAGCGGTCGGCAGATATGGCGGCTGCTGATGACGCCGGTGTGCATGGCCTTACTGACCGCTGAGGTCTACCTTCGTCTGCGGTGCGTGAAGGTGGTCTGCGGGGTGTTTCGTCAGAGTAAGCGCAGGGATGCGGTCTTGCGTTTGCGCTTGACCGGGTGATGGGATAGCAAAAAACAGAAGGTGACTTGCAATAGTTCAGACATTGGGTATGCATTCATGCCAACCAGGCGATCTCGGAGCAACTCGCACGTGCGATAATCTTGCATGATAATGTCGCAATTATTTTGAACAGAAAATGTCATCGCATGCACAACAAAGGGTTGAGGACGGCTCGACTTTTTACATGCATGATTTGCATTCAAGAATCGCAAGTCTGCGGTGCAATTTTTATGGAAGAACACTACTTGGAAAATCGCAAAATACTCCTGTAACACATTTCCACCAGAACGCAACGCAGCAACGTTATTCGTCGCTCGGTGTCACAGCCCAACACCTCCCCAGCTGGGAGCCATCTCCAGCCAGGCGCGTACCGAGCTTCTGTGTCATACCAGCGATCGTGTGCTCGGCGTCGGCGATTGTGACGCAGCTGAGACGATTGTCGGCATGACCAGCACCGTCCCAGCAGCGGCGGATGCTGCTCTTCATACCGACGAACACCAGCTGCTGTCCGCGCTCGTGGAACTCCTTCACCAGCTGATTCATACACTGAAACGGTGCCAAGGATAGAATATATAATATAAATAGATAGGTGAAAATATGGTTTATGGTAATATTTGAGTACCAGGAACGAACGAACAGATGCACACAAGAGGAAAACGAATCAACCATTGCTGGCTTTGGTGGAGTAAGCCGGCAAGTTCAAATTCGCTATATTTTCGAGCTGCGCTCCATAATGTTGTCAGGTGCAGCACTGAAATGACATACCTTGGCAATGAAGACTTATGCAACGTGAAGAAATTTACGCAGCACATGCCTCCAAGGTCTCAGGCGCTCTATTTTGTGCAACTGTCCCGTATCGCCAAACTTCAAGACCTCAACCCATCGAGTGCAGCCGCCGGCCACGCATCAGCGCCCTCAATCGGCCGAATGGCAGCGCCATCTACCTCGGCCGAAGTGAAGTCGGAGTAGCGCACGTTGTTGCAATCGAGCACGACGGACAGCACGCTGCGGCCGTGCAGCACGGCGGCGTCGGTGACCACGGCGCGGACATGCTCGGCAGCGGGGTACGTCAGCCCCGAGTCCGGGTACACGTAGATGTACTCCTCCGAGCCGCCAGGCTGCAAAGGACGCGCGTCAGAACGACGGCCGGTGAACGGGCAGGACCAGGCGGGCTGGGTCTGTACATTTGTTGACTTGATGTGAACGAGCAAGGCCCGAAGTTTTCCGTTTCCCGGCGCTGTGACTTCTTTTGTTCATTATAACAAAATTTGTATTGGAATACCCAGGGAGCAAATGGCGAAACGTAAATAATATCACGTCAATTCGTAAATTGAGCTGTCACAGCTGCGGGATGATGGATTTATCGCAGGGACGTATTCAATATTTCACAATGGGCAGGGGCACAGCTAAAAATATCGCCGAGAACCGAAATAAGCGTGATGCACTCGCGCGCGTAATTTCTTGCACGGGCCACAAGTTTCTTGCATTTGATGCATGCTGTATAAGGACACAACATGTTCCCAATCCTGTCATTTTAACGTGCCCATCTAGTGGATCAAATGTTGCCGTTTGTTCATAACCCCAAAACAACGTGCTATAATTTTGGTAAGGGTGGCGACGTGCCCCCTCCTCGTGCCTCTTTGCGCTAGGAGCGTTCACGAAGTCTTACGTTCTATCCTTACGTTCCACGTTTAATGGGCGCAATACTTCACGAGTGGAATGCGTTCCATCGAGGTATGCGTCAAACGTGTAATCTCCATGTCAGCGAAAGGCTCAAATGTTGCTGCATTGTAATATTGCAACGTTACGGATAACGTGTCACTATACACAAAAACTCTGGAATGTACTGGTTGTTGACGAAGATGACCTCGTATAGCATCAAGCTGCCAGAGCGTCACGATGCTACTATGCGCCACTAGCTATTCTTGTCCTGAAATATTTTTAACGCTACGCACCACAACACTAAAGGCAAGCCAGCTCTTCCCTCGCGACAATGCCGGCCTTATTTTAGAAATGAAAACTTACCGTCGTACAATCTATGTGTTGCGTTTCAAGACCCGCATGTGACTGAAACATGAAACCAGTACTTCGGCAAGGGAAATGTTTCGTGAAAACCGATATCTTCTTACAAAATAACAACAAATTTGCACCGACAGAACTGGTACAAACCAGGACAAATCGGTACCAACAACACAGAGCTAGATGCATGCACACCGACTTAAACCTTGCGGTGGGCGCGGTCCATGGGGCGCAGAGACCTGCCGGGCGTTCGGCTAATGTCGGTACACCAGCCGTCGCAGCCGCTGACGGCTGTCACCAGCTGTTCCGTGCCACCGGCTGTCCGCCGCCGTCCGTCACCTACTCACCAGCTTCCGAGTCTGGGTGACGACCTTGGGCCGGGCGGCCTTGAAGAGGATCATGCCCAGGCTGATGGCTGTGCCGATGCCGATGCCGTACTCCAGGCCCCAGAACACGCCGGCCAGGAAGGTGGCGAGGAATGGCAGCAGGTCCACCTCTGTCGGGCGCCGAGTCATCGAATCAGCACGTGAGCGAGCGTACTCAGCTGACTGCCAGCGAAAGGACTTCCTAGCGATCTCCTAGAGCTCCTGCATATGTAGGCACTCCAAAGCGCTAATACAGTAAGCACTATCAGATCTGATGTTAAATCGTGGCCTGGTTCCTGCTCAAGTCTAAATTAGTACACACACGCTAGCTGGAGTTGGACAAGTATCATACAAATGAGTGAGGAAGTGAACCCTAGTGATTCACTCACTCACAAAATATTGTTCCTAGGCTGAGACGAACGGAATGTTTATCATATTCCGGCAAATTTGGCAAAATATTGCGGACCGCTCAACTTGGCGTTATTATATTCATATTGCATGGTTGCAACATTTGTAACAAAGGTCAAACGTCCAATACAAAAATGGTAAAGCCCAAGCTCAAAACAGCTCATAAACCCTGTTTTTCGGGTCTTATTTAAGTGTTTAGTCTGAAGTTCGTAAAAATGGCTGTCATCCCTGAGCTGACATCCCCCCTCCCCCCCCCCCCCGGTGTTTTATGTTGTTTTTGTTTGGAAAAACGGCGTGCGAAACTCACTCGGGACCTACCGCTTGCCATGACTTGCGTTAACATATCATACGTCAAAAATTGGTGCGAAAAACAACTCCCCTAATGTGACAACGTGTCCCCCGGAGCTCCTGCAGCCTATGGGTCTGTGGTTTCGACATGGGCAAGGGCAAGACGGTACCGCCCGTCTCTGTTGGCGCACTGTCGTGGGTACCCAGGTTCTGACTGTGTAGTGTGGTGGTGGTTGGGGCGGGAGGGAAGGGGGCACACTCACTGCGACTGCGCCACATGGGTCTGGCCACGCTCAGTTCGATCATGTAGATGACGGCGCTGATGATGATGGCCGAGAGCGTGGCCTTCGGGATGTACACGAAGTACGGCGTCAGGAACTGCAGGGCGCAGATCACCAGAAGACCTGCCAATGGAACAACGCAGCGTCGCGTGAAGCGGGACTGAAAACTAAATGTAATATTTTGTCATCTTCTTAATATTATCTATGTTATTAAATGAAAGCTATATCTGCTGTATCATATTATCTTCAGCCTTGTTATTTGCTTATCTTTATGTAATCTTTTCTGTTTACCAGGTTGGGGGACGGAGTGGTGAGATGCCGATCCAAATACTAATTGCCCGAGGGTATGGATTGATAGGAAGGGGCTGGGCAGAGCTATCTGCTGACATTCACCGTATCACACGACATGACTGAACAAGAGAGAGAGAGAGAGGGAGAGAGAGAGGAGAGAGAGAGAGAGAGAGAGAGAGAGAGAGAGAGAGAGAGAGAGAGAGAGAGAGAGAGAGAGAGAGAGAGAGAGAGGAGAGAGAGAGAGAGAGAGAGAGAGAGAGAGAGAGAGAGAGAGAGAGAGAGGGGGGGGGGTAACAGCTAACCTGTCCGCACGCGTTCTCGGGACACACTCCACACGCAGAAACAGCGGAGCGAGAGCAGACGAGCCATCGGACCTCCTCGACATCCTCGAGAAATGGCCCGCACAGAACCGAGCCGGAGCAGGCGGCAGCACCGGCCGGCGTCTCGACACACGGCCACGTAGACCACGCGTAGGAGGCTGGGTCAGGCCGTCAACTGACCTGTGAACACGCCGCCCAGCGGAGTGCGCACGCCGGAGCTGTGGTTGACCGCCGTGCGACTGAAGGAGCCGGTGACCGGCATGGCCGAAAAGAAGGAGCCGGCGATGTTGCTGAGGCCGAGCGCGATCATCTCCTGGGTCGTGTCCAGACGCTTGCCCTCAGCTGTCGGCGCAGCGTGTCCCGTCATCCACCGCGACATGTAATGGGCATATTCTGTACGGCTAAACATTGCAGGCTTTAAAAACGGAATAATATATATATATATATATATATAATATATATATATATATATATATATATATATATATATGTGCCTGCACGCGACCCTAGCGCCCCACGTGAGTAAAAACCAACGCATGTGTTCAAAGGCAAGTTTACATTAATACATCGCCGGTTGAACATGTATTTCCTGGATAAATTATATGCGTCTCTTTGAGGGTATATTCTGTACGGCTAAACATTACAGGCTATAAAATCGGAATATATAAGTATGCCTGCACGCGACCCCAGCGCCCCACGTGAGTGAAAAACAACGCATACGTTCAAAGGCACGTTTACATTAATACATTGCCGGTTGAACATGTATTTCCTGGATAAATGATGTGCGTCTCTTTGAACTGTGTGTCTCAGCTGCTTATACGGCGCTTATAGCGTCCATAAAAGCACCAGTATGTGTTCTCCTACAATTATAATCCGACCTATGCCTACCGTAATCTCTCCCAAAAGTTTTCGGGTAGAGGTGAGGCTAGGCTGAAGTTGTCACATTTTAAGTTGGAGCTTAGAGGCTTCACTCACAGAAGGCCTTGGCGATGGCGATGTTCTCGACGACGGCCAGCAGCGGCACGATGCCGATGCCGACGCCGATGGTGGACGTCATGTCGGAGAAGGCCAGCGTGTGGTTGCCATCAACGGTGGAGAAGGGCGGCGGCTTCGGCTTCGGCAGGCCCGCCGGCACCGACGCTGCGGGAAGAGATTAAGTGTTGACGGCCACGTAAAACCAATGCTGTGAGAGGAGATCGACAGTCGGCAACAGTACAGTACCACTTCCGCTGAAGACAAACCGCGCTTCTTCATTTGCCTACTTGCTATCCGGTGAGTTTTCTTGACTTCTCAACTCACTGCGCTCTACCCTGATGCAAACTGAGCCGTTGTATGTGTGTATGTAATAACGTCAAAACACTCTCCAATCCAAAATGTCTATTCGGAGTGTCGAGTGGATAAGGTTAAGAGGAGGGGCATGCTAAGAAGGACACTAGTAGCAGCTTTCATACATGAATACATCAAAGGCACACATACAAAACACACCTCAGGAGTACATCAAAGGCACACATACAAAGCACACCTCAGGAGTACATCGAAGGTACACGTACAAAGCACACCTCAGGGGTACATCAAAGGCACACGTACAAAGCACACCTCAGGTACACGCACACAGACGGGGATCGAAATCCTGAGACGGGAATCAAACCCTAGACATCGCGTAACCCATTCGCGCGCCTCAGACACGAAACGGACTGCTTCAGAACTCACAGGTGGGCGTGAACGGCTCGAGGTCGTTGGCCTTGAGGATGATGACCACGATGCCGGCCAAAATCACCAGAATGGCGTTGCGAGCGATGGAGCTGAAGCGGAGGAAGCCCTGGAGAAACTTCCGACCGCGCGGTGCCAGAGGGTCAGGCCGCATCATAGGCAGCCGACGCATCTCCTGCGGAGGAAGAGTCGGGATGGTGGAGGTGGGATCGGTGGGACGTTGTCATCCATGTCATCATGACCATCCCAAGTCCACACATGGGCGAGCTTCGGCGCAGTGCTTAGTCCTTGACCCATTTCAGACGCTTTTCAAAACGATGTCAATGCATCATGGATACCAGAAGCCTCTTTGTCTTTCAGGACACCCTGTTATGAAAATGTGCAGGTACTCCTAGACGCTCGGACCACAACTACAAGTAAAACATATGAAGAAACATCAACATTATCATAATGTAGAAAGCAACGCAGTCGAGATTCATCAAATACGGCTTTTATGTCTGTCTGATCGTCTGATATATTCCATGCATTATGTCAAGTCAGAATGGCCTTCACAAAAGTCAGATAAACAAGGAATTTCGAGTGTTCAGAATCATTCCATGGTTGACCCACAAAATATGCTTCCTCCACATCAAGCGAGGTCTCATGAAATAATTCGTGACAACACTAGGTCGGAGAAACTCAAAAGGATCTGAGCATGTGGTGAGAAACTTTCAAGTCAAAGATCAAAGCGTCTACATCTAAAGAAGGATATTCGTCAGTTGGCAAAAAAATGAGCTCCTAAAGGATCACAACCCCAGCACACATCTTGGTCACTTGAAGCGGATGACTTCGGACTCATTTGAGCGTCAAAGTTTGTTTTCAAGGAAAAGATTTACGGATTTTCAAGACTGTGCGGAGACGCCTGTAACCGTTTGTTGCTTTGAAATGTCCGAGGATTATAACAGCGAATTTCCCTCGTCCACATCTGAATCTTTATCTTGAGAGTCTGAGAGGAGTGAGTAATGAACGAGGAGAGCTCTTCTATCAAACCATTAACGTAATGGAGCATCAAAACCAAGGTTTCCCAAACGATGTAAATATTACAGATTACTGATGGATGTTATGCAGTGACGAACGTGGAACAGAGTTTTTTAGGAGGTCCGAAGCGTTATGCTTTGAGCTAGTGAAGGGCGCCATGGAAGGTCAAAAGGTCAATATTTCTGACGTCGTTCTGCTGGAAAGTATTTCTTTGTATACTTCCAACCTAGACAAACTTTAACAGGTACAAATCATGATTTAACCCCCGCCCATGCAGCACGCAGCTACAGCACGGAAGATCTTAAAAGGAAAATAGTCGTAGAGGCGAAATTAGGCGTGTTGCACCGAGGCCAAAAAATGCAACATCTATCGGAGGTTGAAATTCAAAGAGTGGTTCATCCACAATCATAATAAAGATAAAATGTTGATGAACCGTGCCATGAGTATTTTAAGAATATTTCCGGTGACAGGGTATATAAAATTGCCTTTAGCCCTAGAAGGTATTAAAATTGACAGAAGCTTTGATTCCACACTTAACTGCAAATACAACACCTGTATTCATGTTTACATCCAAGTAGCAATAGCATCAACCATCATACGGTCGGAGGCACATTCCCATGAGCTTACCCGCATGGAAATGAGAATGGCGATGCAGATGCAGCCAAGAGTTAGATCATACACGTTTGTGTCTGATATCTGCTCGCCGATGCCGCGCAGTGTGGCTATAAAGCCGTCTCCGTCCACCTGAAACATGAGAGCACTGTGTGACGAGGTGCACTGGTACACGACGTGTTCAAGTGTGTGGGCTTACTGGTGGCACGGTAGGTGTAAGTGAGGAGGTGAACTATGACATAGGTACAATGGCTGTGTCACACTGTGGGCTTGGGTGACGAGGTGCGCGGCTACAGCATGGGTTTGCGTAATGAGGCGCTGCCAGATTGTAGGTCTGCGTAAGATGTCACTTGGGGTTTTCTACGGTTTTCATTTTACGGTTTTCATTGATGAGGCTCAATCTCATACCGTCTATTTGCGTGTGAAGATAGCACACCGAATGGTGGGTGTGATCAACGAGGTACCAATGTGTGGTGGGTCTGCATGATGTGGTACGTCGGTATACATTGGGCTACCGTGACGACGTGCCGAATGTTACAGGACGGGTTTGGGTGACACAATAAGCGTCGCTCAGTCCAGTTCCCGAAGTGACGAAGTGTGACGTTCGTTCGTTCCGTGATGAAGTATCGTTGGGTGTGTGTGGGGGGGGGGGGGGGGCTGGTAAGAGGGTATTCTGTCACACGATTCTGTGACCGGGCGACCTGTTACACGAGGTACCTATTACCTGTGTGAGGAGGTGCCCTGTTACACCCCCAGCTCCGTGTCCGAGCCGAACTATCCGACCGCTATTCCTATCACTGTGTCCAGCTCGTGCATAACCATCTTCACTGTAATCAACGTAATGTACCGCGCCGCTAAATGACTATGGAAGATGCGAGCGCCGCAGAGCAGTTCAGAATTGACACGCTGTGTCAAACTGCGGTTTTGCGTGGCGAGGCGTGCTGTTGGCGCACCGCGTCCTTACTCATTGTTATCCACGGTCCCGGAGTCACGTGTGCGTTCTCCGAAACACTTCTGATCAGCGGATATGAGTGATACTATACTGCAGCAAAGCGCATTGCGAGACAGGCGCTCTAACCAACTCAGCCGTCACGTCGGAGAGAATTTAGTTATCTTAAGTGGACGGCGCTGATATGGGGTGTCAGATAAGATCTTCAAATCCTGACGCGGTGACAGGCTCTCTTAAGTGTGTTTGAGGGAGGGACAGAGGTGTGGCTTCCTATTTGGTTGGGGGAGGGGAGGGGCTCCGACCTACCAAAGACTAAGCGGGAAGTGAGCGAGGGTCGGGAAGAACCCTTTTTTGGCGTGCATTGATTGTACCTTCGACCATCTTCCCTGCTCAGCTCCCTCGTGTGTTTGAGAAACGGGCAGAGGTGTGGTCTCCTATCTAGTTGGGGGGAAGGGGGAGGGGGGAGGGGAGGGATGGGAGGGGCTTCAGCCTGCCAAAATCTAAAAGCGAAGCGGGCGAGGGTCGGGACGAAGCCGTCCAGGTGCAATTTGAGGAATAGGTCAGCCATGTCCTGTTCAGCTCCCTTCGCTACACATGATGCGAAACTATGCCCAAGCATAGTGCGTCTAATTGCGAGGCCCAGCAAAACTCATCGGTACCCCGGAAAAATCTCCCGTCTACAGCTGCTGAAACGTAACCCATGCATAGGCGAATGGGCAATCAGCTTGATTTTCTGGAATGCACCGTCTTGTAACTTAAAGTCGAGGGCACACATGTTGGGCAGCAATTCCTCGGGCCACGTAAGCGCGCCATGCAGTTGTAGAGCCTACAGAGGATCAATGGCTCCTGCCTGAGCAAGATCCGGATCAAATTAGTAAAACATCGCTCAAGCTGTGGAACAGAACTAACATGCAATTCGTGCTGGTGAACACTGCTGAGTAAAACATGGTTGTAAAATCCAAATCTTGCTTCCTGTCTGCTACTGGGGATCACATTTGTGCGACGGTTTTTATCGATAATTTATTGGCTCAGCCTGGGCTCTGGATACCGCCTTTCCTTTGGATGTTAAGAATGTGGAGTATAACAAAGAACCTTATCTAGCGACACTTGATGTTTTACGAGTGTGAAAACCCTCCGCAACCCTGCTTGGGCAAAAGGGCGGAGACAAAACTATGACATGAACTGGACGGTACAACTTGGGTGATGGGTTCAAGGTACATGAAACAAGCAAGGTTTGCTTGCGAGGTGTCGTGAAGCCAGACACCCACGCAGACTGTTCGGAACATATTTGTAAGCATAAGCGATAGATGCTTAAAGAACCGTGAAACCAGAGGTGATCACGAACTTAATCAAACTCCCATCTTTTCACATACAAATACCACGCCTTAGGCTGATGACGCAATTTTCCGTGGCAGGCTTGTTGCTTTCGTGACTGATACCGCTGCATAACGGTAGCTTCCGTCCTAATTCCTGCTTTCCATCAAAACCAATACCAGGTCCTCACCGAAAAACAGCACCCATTGACAGGTTATACAAGCAGCAAATTTACATATCTGCCGCCTTCTGCACGGACGCGTGTATGCTCGAGTAGACTGCGCAGGGGGTATGACTCACTGCCGCCGTCGGCCATTATGCGTAAGATCATACAGCGCAATGGCTTCGGAGCCAGGGGCGGAGTGTTACGGTAACCGTGCGGAACGCTAAACCGGTCCTGAGCCACCGAGCTCACGCATGCAGGGTGTGCCGCCGGTCTGATGACCCGCACACTCAAGGACTGCGAGAGCCGGCCTCAGGGACGTCACAGACCTCTGCGATTCCGTGCCAGGCGCACATATGCAGCGCGGCGAGTACTTTTTACTGTCTGCCTGCCTCCGTGGGTTCTACACCGCACGAAATTTGGAGAAGGGGGCGTTATTTACAGCATGTGACAACTTCATAGTCTGGTGCTATTTTCATCACCTACACGCAAAAAAGTTGGGTGCAAAAATGTGGCATGCACCATCATGCATTACATCACATGAACATTTCGGGTGCAGCAGCGTAACTCAGGACGACGGAAGATATCACCCAAAGATAAAACACGCTCTTAGTACTGTCGTTGCAATGTTAGCTCACACTGTTTACCAAGATACTCTATCTCCTATCGCTTCGCGCTGCGCACCACACACGGCGCATACCAGCCATAGAGCATCTCGGTCGGGCTGTTCCTTATCCCATTGGAGTCACGAGGTCAGCGCGTGGTAAAGAGGGTGGAGGGGGGGGGGGGGGGTCGTTGTGAAATCAGCCCGACTGGAACTTTTGAGATTTTGTATATGCGTGGCTGAAGTGTTCTTGCGTGCATAAAATGAGCCTGATGTGTCATATATTATTTTTTTACTGTTCGTAATTATCTGTTTTTGCATCCGCATTTCTCCTGTTTGCATTCCAGCCGGGCATCTCTTTACATTATAATATTTAAAACCAAATTTTTTATCAGACCTTCATTCATACCGACCCAGTTCTATGTGTCATATTTTTCCTCTATTTCATCTCTGTTTCAAGTTATATCCAAGTGTATGCATTCTTCTCCAGTCGATCCCACGCAGAGTCGGGCTCATTGCCGTCAGGCTTCTTCAAGGTTACTCACGGTGACTTCTTCGCACCGCAACAGCCTGTGTGCCCCCCCCCCCCCCCTCCCCGAGGATTACCTCCGGACGGCGCGGCCCCCACCTTGATTCCGAAGAGGCCCTTCAGCTGGGAGACGGCGATGGTGATGGCCGCGGCGGACGTGAAGCCAGCGATCACCGGGCCCGACATGAAGTCGATCAGAAAACCTGCGCCGCACGGACACCGCGTGCCGTCAGCGCCGGATGCAGGCAGCACGTCAGCCGCGTAAACATAGTACCTCGGCGCCAACATAGCATTAGCATAATATAGTGCCATCATAGTGAAGTATCAATATAGCAAAATACCAACATAATGTAGTACCAGTATGGTATAACACGATGAACATAATATCACGGTGATATAATATCAACGCAGTATAGTATCAAGATCGCATAATACCGAGATAGTATATCCACATGGCATGGTATCAATATATCAAAGTATCAGCATATTATAATATCAACATAATACCACCATAGTATAAACCACGCCGTTCTTCGGCCATTTTTGAGGTCAAGACAAAGTCCATAGGTATCACTGGTTGCTTTCTCCGTATGAGCATGTGATACTCTATCGCCCAGAACGCCAGATCTGACGCTGCTCCTTCCAAGAACCTATAAGCAGCGAAATATTTTCGTACATCCTATACCCTGGTTACCACTGCGGCCACCAACTAGAAGGTTATGCGGCTCGTAGCTGCTTACCCAACTGTAGAACGCCGGCCAAGAGAATAACAATGCCGGCCAAGAAAGCCAGAAGGTTGGCGATGTCTGGGTTGCCATGGAAACCGTATTCAGTGCGTCATCAGTGCCATGATAGGCTGTCGGTCCGATAGTGATGGCGCGAGAGGATCCGAAGATGCAGTAGACGAAGCAACCCACGAAGGAACTGTACAGGCCGTACTGCAACAGGGTATGGTGACGAATTACAACGCGATTGGACGGCTCCAATGACGTCACAGGCATCACGCAGACACGAAATGATACAGTCTCACAACGGGGTGAAAGTGTCACGGCACACGAAGCGTCTTCAAGTCATCGCAGCTGGCCCCGGCCGAAGTTGCACAATGGGGAGGGGAGGGACCAGCATCGTACCAGGCGGCAGGCCAACGTCCATCAACGTGACAATACCGGGAGAAGGAGAGGTGGCTCTATAGTTTTCGGGCAGGCAGGCCTGAGTTTCAGTATGTCCTTCTGAGGAACAGATCATCACTGGGGCCACTCTCTCTCACCCCACCGATCTCCGAAAGTCTTCGTCTTTCGCGAATCCCCACGCGTTATCAAGTTCCTTTCTCAGAAATTTATGCGTGTTATGCGGCATTAGCGCGATGTTTGCCGCGCCCTGGTGTCCGCGCATGCGGCGTTCATCCAGGGATACACGTCCGAACAGACAGCATCGCGCCTCGCGCAGCCGCCGACCACACGTACACCGGCGCCATTTCAGCCGAACGCTGCCGGATTAAGTTGTAGCGGCGAAGACGAATTCACCGCGACCACCATCCACCTCTATTGTAAGTCACTCATTAGTGACGCCGCCACGGCTGCCGAGCTGTCGGCGGCGCACGCGACCACCGGCGCGCGCAGGCGTCACCACCGGGCCACCCCTGGAGTGCCCCCGGGCGCCGCGACCGCGTAAGGAAGCGTTCTTCCGCGGCGCCGCGCGCCCGCCAACCGCGTGACCTCTGGCTTGACCTTTGCCGAGGTGCCCCACTGGCGGTGCTGACAGACGTCAAAGGTCACGAGGAAGCCCGATCGCGTGAGCTGGACAGACGCCAGGCGCTGGAGGCCGCCGTGTCGTGCCGGTTCGCCGCTCGTGGAGTCAGGGGTCAGGCGACGGGATGTGGCCCGCAGACGGACCGGTTAACCCAGTCACGACCGACGCCGGCGGCTGGCGTGCAGAGCAGCGCAGGTAGAGAGTCGGGAAAGTGCGAAGAAGGGGCGATCGGCCAGCTGACAACCGTGACGGCCGGGGGCTTGAAAGTCTCATGCACCGTACACGGAGGGTCTGGAATATCCGATGCCTAACTTGGAACCATCTGGACGCGGAACTATCGATGCAAACGGAAGCATTTATGTTTGCGTCAGTGCCTCGGCTGGGGAAAGCTTCATTAGTGATAATCCGTACGAATAAGCGCGTTGTGAAATGTTCCGTTCCGTTCAATCAAACCATGCTGTTTTAACCCAGTGACACGTGATACCATTGAACCCCTGTACCACTCCCCCATGGATTAAATAGCTTAGAGATGCAACTGGACCACAGCTTAGGATCCGCTGCGAACTGTGACAGGCGTCAGCAGGTGGCGGCTGCGTCCTGTGCTTTCGGCAGCGCTGTTCGTGCATGGCATGTCTTCCTCAGACACGACCAGCCCGCATGTCATGTCCACCATCCCTCCAGGTGCATTGTGGGCAGTGGGGACGGCGCGTCCGTCCGGCAGCGTCCGTGGCTACCCGTGTCAACGCTCCATGCAGCGGATCTTATCGTAAACCTATGAGCAGCTCGCTACTATCTGATGAACTGTACCGAGAAAGTAGATCTTGAGGTCTGCAAAACAATTTGGTCTGCGTATGTCCGGATTAATGTGTCTCCTGGCACCAAAGCTGGCCTCGTGCAAACAGGAAACTCGCCGCAATTTTTACAGCAGCCATCGCCACTCTCATGCTCTACCGCACATAAGTGGTGCAGCCGCAGCTGTGCAAAGCTGTCTCCGTTTCTATTGAACGCTCACCATCGTACTGTGAACTTTCTCATTGGCACATCGAAGCACGTCAACGGCTGGTCGTCACGTGCTCGGTCGCGGGAGGAGGAAGGAACTGAGGCTGGAGCGGGGCAGGGGGGGGGGGGGGCGGCGGAGCGTCCGATCGCCCTCGACTAAAGAGCCGCGGCCGCTTCCGATCTCCCCGGGTCGCCTCTGGGTCACGGCCGAGGCGGGTGGGTGGCCCGCTCTACCGGCGCCCGTCACCCGCCGGCGACGGCGAGAGCGCGCCGCGTTCGCCGCGTCACTCCGGCACACACTCCCAAGCACGCGCACGCACACACTTCCCGACGGCGCGGGCGGCGGCGGCGGTCAGCCGACGCCGCAAGAGAGCGGAAACGCGCCGACGACGGCGCAGCGCCGCGCGCGGCGACCACTCAACACACACGCAGCCGCGGCGAGTCATCCCGCTTGACAGGCGCCGCCGCGGGTTCTCATGAGAAGGTCAGAGCCGTCACGCGCCGCTCGAGATGAGACGCCGACCGCGGCGGGACGCCCGCGCCACGGGGTGGCTTCGGGTGAAGCGAGACCGGGAGATGGCTTAGATGATGTGTGGGTGGAAGTGATCATGCGGATGTTCATTGGTTGTAGGCGCTTGCAGGGGAGGTTGGCCATTTATGGTGTTCAGCGTCCGTGCCAGTGGCGATTTACGATGTTTGCCTCGCACCAGGCAGACGCCACCCTCTGTCATGTGCTATTGCTCTGTCGTGCCGCTGTCCTCGCTCTTAACGCCGGAAGTAGTCATGTCCGTGAACGGAACGGCTGTTAGCATGCACCGGTATTTAAATCATCACTCCGGCGGTTTATACGGCTCCTTTGAATAAGCCAGTGACGTCACGGGTTCAACTCGCGTTGACCCCCGCCAGGTGGGCGCCTCTCGCGCCCTCGTCCAGGAGAGCGTGCCTCACAGGCCACCACTGCTACCCGGAAAATAGCGTGCTGCTGCAGGCCAGTAGCGTCATCAGGAGCTCAAATAAAGCTGCACCAGACTTACTGTCATTAAGCATCACTTCATGTCACTCCTGAGGAGTTGAACGAGGTCATGTGGGTTTAATGCGGACTTAGCTTGACTACGCTGAATTTGGGTCTGATTTCTACCTCCAGAACAACGCGTGTTATGATACTGGGGAAGTGGTATTGTGTATCCCTTCACGTATTAAGTCATGCGGCAGCGGTTGGACGTAAACCGAAGGGTGAAATCTTGTGTGTCTTTTACTTCGCTCCGTTATCTTGGGAACTCAACAAAGACCGGCAGAGGAGCAAACAGCTCGAGACAGCAGTTTACGGAAGGATTAAGACAATGTTTTAATGTTGACATAACCGTCCCGAACCTTGTCCTAGTCTAATGTCTCACTACGTACGTAACCTTCCGGCCAGATAATATTGTGGTCGTCGTGGGGAATAATTGAGTCCTGTGGAGACTCCAAGAGGCGCTACGAGGATTCTTCGTGCGGTCTTAGTTGATCCTTCGTGAAAACTAACACCTTGATGATTACACTTTTTCGAGACTTAGGTTGACCCCTAGATGTCAGAAAAGTTGCGACATTGATACTATAGATCAAATACGGCACAGCATCTCATACATGCAAAGTATTTAGCAAATTCATTCCTTGGCATCGCCGATCCTAGGTCAGCTCACCATTTCATAGAAAAGGATCTGCCTTGCACGATCCGCAAGCGCATTGGGCATGCCATCCCAACAATTTCGGCGTTGGAATTTGTCAAGATCAAGTGTTCTGTTGTGAGTGTTCTGATCAATTGATGACATATTTATCAACGATGTTCAACATGTCAGTGATCCAGGGCTTCTTCCCTAGTAGGTGGGCGGAGGCTAGCGTGGCGCTCGTCATTAACAAATATTTTTAGAAATCTCCCGCTTACTATCGTGCAGAGGCCCCGCCTCATTTGCTGTACAGAACCTTGAACTATCCAGAGCACTTTCCCGCCACATTTGACGCGCATTTACAGATAGTCACACGACTTTGTCGTGCACCAGTCGTGCGAAACAAATCTGACCGTTTTTCTTAAACGGCGTGGGAATCCACATGCAACGGCAATCACACCGCCGTCGTAAAAGCAGAGAAATCCGTAGTGTTCCCAAGCGCCACGCGCGAACTGCTCAATTTCAGCTGCAACATTCTCACCATATACAGAATAAAGCTCCGAAGAGGAGTCTTCTTGTCCGACAAACCGGAGACAGAGTCGCGGCGCACACATGGTAAATGTTCGGTGTGCAGGGTGTTTATGTCCTGAACGCCACAAGAAAGCCTTCTGCCCGTTTTGTTCTTCTCTCTGTTAAAAACCTGCGTGGTTAAGTTGAGAAGAACTGCTCTTTGCTGATGTCGTAAGCTGAACCGTAAATTGTCAAGAGAAGACAAGGAAAGATGCCGCCCGGCCGTAAAACGACTAAAAATGCCTTCAACTGTCAGCAGATTGGGAAATGTAACTGAATCCCGCAAAATTCACCTCCCCCACAACCTCTCTGTCACAATCAGATTCCGAACGTGTCATAAATTCGAAACATTACATTGCAGCGTCTAACCGCCATCAGAGAATGCGGAGTTTAGCTTGAAACCGACCACACCTTTGCAAACTGCATAAATTATGCAGTTTCAGAGGTGAACAGGGTGCTGGGTTTGATGCTCCGAACCCCCAAAACCGGTTTGCAGCTAAGCCGCAGGCAAAGATAACTGTAAACCAATTCAAACAGCTTGCTTTGAAGTCGCGCGCTCTGTACTAGATGGCGATTGTGTTATATGGGAAGGAACACAAAACGCGCAGTTTGATCGTTTCAGTAGGATTCGACATTTAGTTCCCATAAGTCCTCTTTCACAGACACACATTCCATTCCATTCCAAAGGTCCATCGCAACGCTTAGCTAACGCAAAATCGCGAACTTTTAAAGACGCCTTCCGAGCATACAGGTAATTACAGTATGATGAATTATTTGTGCACAAGGATTTTCTGGAAAAGTAAACCCACCCTTTTGGTTCCGACGCTTCCACCTGCATATCACACTCCAGTTTACGCGATCCGTCCAAATACACGTCTGCACGTGCCTTTTGCAGGAACGGACACAATCAAGCTCGGTTCCACGAAACATTGTTTTTTTCTGGTAACTTTGTCATTGATCTGTGATCAGCGATCGCGAAAGCAGATTGATGCCAGTGGTTTCCCAGTGCTTGAATTTCAGCTCCAGTTATCTTCAAGTACATTTGGGTATTGGTGCCCGCCATTCGCAACGCGCGAAAAGTGACGCGGTTTTGCTTCTTTACGTTCTGTAGTTACAAATGCTGGCTTCGTCGTCACCACGAGCAGGCAGTCGCATCGTTTTCGTCATTCTGGGTTGTATCTGTCAAACCCCAGGTCGGTGCACCATGCTAACATACACGTTAACTCATCAATATTCCACAACACTCGTCTTTCTATTTTCTCTATCAACCAGATAATCAAATGTTATAGAGAGAAAAACAATATATTATTGGATTAATGCGCTCTCCGACTAGACCTCTTTTTGTTGTCGTTTCGGGAATATTTGTACGAGATAAGGCAATAATATTTTCACCTATATGAAGTGTGGATATGGATATTTGAATGCCTTGTACAGCACTGTTCTTCATTACGCTTCTCCATGAAATGTTACGATTTTTCCCCTCAATAAAACGCAACTTAACTTTATTTCAATTGAAATGGCGTGCGTTTGCATACGTCGGAAGGCCAGGTGCATGATTTTGGCTACATAAGCGTCGCAAATGATAAGCTTGATCTGAGTCATACCATGCGCCACTGCCGGTAAACTTTAAGCAACCAGCATACTCTACAAGACTCCAACGATAGCTCCGCAGTCCCCCCCCCCCCCCCCCCCACTGCACAAAGCAACACAAGAAAATGTCCATTGCGGAGACCATCCGCAGATCAACTCATTTCACGGGCATGAGTAGGGGGGGGGGGGGGTCGCCACCACCGCCATGACCTCGCTCAACGTCAGCGTTGGTAGGGGGGGGGGGTCGCCACCACCGCCATGACCTCGCTCAACGTCAGCGTTGGTAGCGGTGGCAGGCGTGACGTCCCGCTGTTACGTAAGATCAGGTGACTGCTGTTGAGGCAGAAGTCAAGATCAAGCGATCATTTCTCAGGCGCCTGCCTTTTAAGAAACCACCGGCTGTGGCGTGCTCAGGTGCCTTTTCTCCTCTGACCTGCATTCATCGAAAACTCACTATGCAACGCAAAAAGAAGCGGGGTTTCATGCGGTACATTGGACCTGAATGACATATTCAAAAACACATACTGCTCAGATACTTAATGCTCTCTAACATTTCTGTGGTCCGATCCTCGTGTCCGAGCAACAAAAACTGGCGAGAGGGAGAGGGTTAGGCCCACCACCGAGGCACAAAACCTCACCCATAAATACGGATGAGACGTGATCGATACGGACGCCGGTTGGAACACGGCACCCAGCAGCACACAAAAAGCGCTCGCACTCACGTTGGCGGAGAGGACCCGCGAGACTGCCGTAGGCGATGCCCTGCGGGATCACGGTCAGGCCGACTGTGAGGCCGGCAATGGTGTCGCCAATCAGGTCAGACTTGGTGTACTTGGGCGCCCAGCTCAGGATCGGGAGCGTGCTCAGCAGCGTATCCTTGCTGAACACCTGGCGCGCTCGGCCCTGGCGGTCAAACGCTTCGGTGAGATCCAGAAATGCGACAGGCGACATTGCAGCAGAGCTAATGGCAGCGAGCATTCTCCCTTGGTTTCGGTGCGAACATTTTTCCGTGCATGTGCTCTGGAGAGCTGTTATAATTTCGTTGTAGATCGTACTAGAGAAGTGCCCTGCATGGACCGTTACATCCTTCAGTGGCATACAAGGCGGACCCCGACCGTCATCGTGCAGATAAATCTTTCAATATAAATGCGCTTGAAGTTCCACGCCCTTTCAAGGGGAGTGAGGTTCCATGAAACAGGCAACACCTGCTATCTGCAACAGCTCCGGTTGGCGGAGTTAACGGTGTTCTTAATTGAAGAACGAACCAGGATACGCATTCGTTGAACGCGTGCCGAGGGTGATTGCCACCGGCAAGTGTCGTGATGACTCACCGACGCCCACTCCCTGAGCTTCTGCAGATCGGAGGCGGAGCTGTCGTCCGAGCTGCTGTCCTCCTCATCCTGGTACGGCGTCACCGGAACTGCCGGACAACAGACGCGGCTGTCACTGGAGCCGTCGGACAACAGACGGGGCTGTCACTGCAGCCGTCGGACAACAGACGCGGCTGCCACTGCAGCCGTCGGACAACAGACGCGGCTGTCACTGGAGCCGTCGGACAACAGACGCGGCTGTCACTGCAGCCGTCGGACAACAGACGCGGCTGTCACTGCAGCCGTCGGACAACAGACGCGGCTGTCATTGCAGCCGTCGGACAACAGACGCGGCTGTCATTGCAGCCGTCGGACGACGGACACGGTTGTCACGGCGATAAACGGACGGTGGACACGGTTGTCTCTGCGCCCACTGGACAACAGACACGGCTGTCACTGCGATAAACGGACAACAGACACGGCTATCACTGTGATAAACGGACAACGGACACGGCTGTCATTGCAATAAACGGACAATAGACACGGTTGCCATTGCGGCCACTGGATAACAGACACGGCTGTTACTGCGATAAACGGATGAGGGACACGGTTGTCACTGCGACTACCGGACAACAGACGCAGCTGTCACTACGACCACAGGACAGCAGACTGCTGTCACTGCGATCACCGGGATATAGACACGCCTGTCACTGCGACCACTGGACAACAGGCGCAGCTGTCGCTGTAACCGCCAGGTAACGGACACAGCTGTCACTGCGACCAACGGACAACAGGCACGGCTGCCACTGCGACAAACGGATAACACACACGTCCGTCACTGCGACAGCCGAACAACAGACACGGCTGTCATTGCTACCACCGGACCAGGTGTGTCTGTGTCGCCGGAGCTGTCGGATGGCGGCTAGATGTCACTGACACTGCCTGATAGCGGACAGCACCACTGAAACTGCTGGGTAACGGACAGGCGTCTCCGGAACTACCGGATAGCGGACAAGCGTCACAGGATCTTCCGGACAAGCGTCGCAGGATCTTCCGGACAAGCGTCACAGGATCTTCCAGACAACTGAGGATACTCTCGTGATTGGTACTGCTGCACCACGACCGTAGCGGTCAGCAGACTAACGTGTATGGACCATAGCTACTGGACGCGGTGAAAACTAGGAGTCAAGACGGCTTTAAATGTGACGGCGTTGGCAGCGCATTGTGTGATGATTTGTCGTCGGTCTACAATGTTTATGAGCATGCTCTGAAGCTCTGTGGAGTTCAAAGCAAAATGATTTCGTGATGATGCAAGCTAGCGAACTTTCATCCAGTACATGATTGTAAGCGAGGTCAATCTTTCCAAGCGTTTAACGTAACCAAAACATAGCGTCGTATTGGCCTTTGTTTACGATCGGCATCCTTTGCTCTAATTCATCTACTCCCGTTTATGTTCCGGCACCGCCGTGCCGACACATCCCCGCAGCGCGACCGTCTCGGATCTCCAGCGTCGCCAGAATGAAACTGGACTTGTGTCGGAGGCTGTAGACGTCGTGTCTAGGTTCGCGGAACACCTCGGAGCTCATCGGGCATTCAGCCCACGCCGTGCTCCGACGTGAACATTTATCGCCGGACCACCGGCCGAACTGTGCCTGCGATCTAATCTCGGTCCCACAGGGTTGGCCGGCGCGCCGAACTGATGGCACGCGATGAGACAAATGCAAACAGATTGTGCGGCGGCTCGTCTTTCAAAATGCGAGTGGGGAGGGGCGGGGCACTGGTCAAGCAAGTGTCCTCAGGCTTTGTAAACAGACGTCCGACACGGTCCAGTTTGATCCCCATTGTTTGCATGCGGTTGCTGGGTAGAGCTGGGTTGATGAACCTTTCAAGGGAGGCTGTGGTATGCACTCCTAGTTCATACAGCATCGTAGTTATTGTTAGGACTCTCCTCCCGAGCATGGCATAATTCTCCAAAGTTGTGCCATTCACACTGGTCTGATGAAAGGCGAGCGTCACACAGTGGTGCTTCCCTCATGGCAGTGTTTTAGCACTACGACCGAAGACGAAACACAAACACGCCAATATCTCAGGTGCTCGCGATTTTTACGAGCTCGAAGCGCTACTCGTACTCAGCATTTGCAGTCGATCATGGTGAAATAGCGTAACCAGGTTCCACCTGGTAGGATCCTAATCCTAAGCCTAATCCTAATCCTCAGCCTGAAGCCTAATCTAATCGGAACAATGCTAAAACAACAAACGTGACCACAAAGACCGTCGAGCCAGCTGCACGGCGCCGTTACTGTCTCTAAATACACCCGTTCCGCATTCCTAAGCGGCCTCTTCTGCCTCCACCCGCCCGCAGCGCAGGCCGGCCGGCCTCGTCGCCGGGCAGCACCGAAGCTTGCTGTTGGGAAGCCCCAGACGTCCCGCTGCTTAAACAGGCCGCTGGGTGACGTGGCCGGCGGGGCCGCGCGCGCGCGGCCTTCTTGTGTTTACCTGCGTGGAGACGGGCCGCATTCCTGTGCGGTGGCGACAGGGGGTGGGTGTGGGCCCGCCCGATTTGGACCCGACGCTCCCCCGATCCGACCCGGGGGGGAGCCGGGCGGTGACCGGGACGATCGGAGGAAGACGGCACGAGGCGCGGGTTCCGGTCTCGGCCCGATGCGGTCGGCGATACGGCATGGGGGAAGGGCACGTGTCAGAGCGCAGTTCCGGATCGATTCGCTATCGGTGATCAGGGAAGTCGGCTGACATCCCGGGGCGGCGACGCAGGACGGCGGCTCCAGGTTAACGGATGAAGAGAGAGGCGTCCTGAGGAATGGCACTGGTCTGTCGGCTGGTATCCCGGGGTGGCGACTGAGGACGGCGACTCTAGGCTAGCGGGTGGAGAGAGAGGCGTCGGAAGGAATGGCACTGGTCCGTCGGCTGGTTTCCCGGAGCAGCGACGCAGGACGGCGGCTCCAGGTTAGCGGATGAAGAGGAGGCGTCGGGAGGAATAGCACCGGTCTGTCGGCTGATTTCGCCGGCGATAAGCGGCAGTGAAAGACTCGTGCCTCGCGTCCCGATGCTGTTGTCGCGTCCGATGCTAACGGTGATCAGGAAAGCTGGTCGACATCGCAAAACCATGGTGGTATTGAGAGAAGGAAGAGTACCGGTACTTTCAACAAACCGATTATATTTGTCATACTGTAATCCGAATGTAATCTGTAATATCATTCTAAGTAAATTGAAGTAATTATTTCGCATGCCACCATCTAAACCTCGAAAGTCTCGTGATATCTTGCAATCAACGGCAATGCCACACAGACGGCACCTAGGTCAGAGAGCGTGACCCCGATAATACCAGCTCACTGCATGCAAGGTACGTCTGGTCAGGCCCCTCGACCAGGTCAGCGTTGTCTCGTACTCCTGCTTCCGTCAGGCACGGCGACAGTTGTCGAGAGAGACACGCACGTGCGTGACCGTAGAAACTGGGGCATGCCTCACCGGAAGTGCAGGCAATTTCTGCCTTCGATTGGCCTTACAGTTTTCAGCATTAATAGGAAAGTGAAAGTGGCATCGGACAGTAACATGCTACGCCGGTCGCATGTACTGAAGTCCGGCAGCGACTCTGGCAGCTAGCTCGCAGTTGACCAGAGAACGTAAAAAAACGGCTGCGAGCTCCCCCGATTTCCAGCTCGGGTCTGCTTAAGGTCATCGGCTTTGTGTGTTTCACACGTCCAGTCATCTCAGATTGGTGAAAGGAGCGCTTACGTGCGCCTTCCGCAGCGCCAGGCACAGACTCAGCCGTTTCCGCACCGTCAGTTCCCGGAACGGGCCGATCCGCCGGGTGCAGTAGTTCGCGTGGGGCACGGAAGCTCCACCCCAACAGCACACACGCGCTGTGCGGACTGGCTATAAACGACGGCATAAATTGACACCTTCCGTTTCGTGCGCAGCTTGTTTTGTTCCGAGTGTACACGGAATACCACATCGCAGCACGGTAGCCCCCCCCCCCCCCCCCCAGTGTTTTGCCCCATCATCCCGGTCAGAAGCGATTATCTGTTTCGGTCGTAATGACGTGTGTACCTGCTTATCAGAACCAAGCCTGGAGGCTCCTTAGTCACTCTGCGAGCCAGGTAGAGCGGGAATGGATCCAGCTATGTCGAGAAGAGCCAAACAAGCCCGGTAATTGCTCCGTGCGGCCTCCCGGATGTCCGTCCTCCTGCGATCGTGTCCCTCCTCCTCTCGCCGTGCAGAGACGCGACGGTTACCTCCGGAGGGAGCAAGTCACCGCCAGGGAAAGTCTGCCACACACAGCCTGTCAGGGCCAAAACCCCGGACCGAGACAAGCGGCTGCCAAGACCTGGATGCGGCCGCTGCGGACACCGGTACCAGGACAGCCGAGAGCCTGGGTTTGGACGGCTCCTGTCATGGACGCGACCTAATCCACCGGCGGAGTCTTGAATCCAGGTCGAGATTCGGTATTGGATCCGGACTGACTTGGATATCAGATACGGACTGGCGCTTGGGATATGGGCAGGGGCTGCCACTGACGGCGATCTTGGGCCACCGCTCCCGGGAAAGTGGAGAGGAGCCGAACATCACCAAGAACACGGGGACCAGCGCTGATGAAGATCTGAACACATGCTGAACGGGCAGGGATCTGCAAAGGAACTAACAGCGGTACTTCCGGAAATGCGGACAGATGGTAAATCCGCAGGAAATTCGGATTGGAGATTAACGCCAGTAGAAATCAGGACAGAGAGTAAAACTCACTGCAAGGTGAACAAGGACCAGCGCTGCCAGACGGCCGAACTGAGCTCGGCGCTCCCGGCAATCTGGAGAGGAAAAGGAACGGCCGGAGCTAGCAGTCGGAGGCAGGCACAACATGGCACGACGTGGCTGGTTGGTCTGCTAGCAAGGCTCGTTTTATGGCTGCGCTCGCCACTCTCAGCGACGACTGTCTGCGGCTTTCGGGGCCATAAACGAGATAGGAAAAGATCAAAGTGCCGATAGGACGAGATGCTCAAAGTGCATGGGGTGCTGGCCATACCGGATCAGTGAGGGGGTTTATTGCTGAGTGCGCAGACTGAGCCGGGCTGTCAAGGGACGGGCCCGCGGTAAAACG